ATGGGTCATGGTCCTCACATTTGGCTCAGAATTAATATCTCCAAATAGTTTACGGAGTTTGGCTTTTTCATCAACACTTGGGCTAGGCAATGGTTTCTTTGATAGAACAACCAAAAACACAAGCAACAACAAAAAATACAGTTAAATTGCACTTCATCAAAATTAAAACCTGTTGTGCGCCAAAGGATACCAACAAGAAAGTGAAAAGATAGCCCATGGAATGGGAGAAAATATTTTCAAATCATATATCTGATAATGGACTTATATTTAGAATACATAAAGAACTCCTATACCTAGTAATAAAAAGACAAATAACCCAATTAAAAAGTGGGCAAAGGATCTGAATAGACACTTGTTCAAAGATGATATACAAATGGCCAATAAGTACATGAAAAGACGCTCAGCAGCATTCGCCATCAAGGAAATGCAAACCAAAGCCACATGAGATACTACTTTATATCCACTAGCATGGCTATAGTCAAGAAGACAAGTAATAATAAAACCACCTTTGCAAAACTTATAACAGATAAAATTATTACAGTGAAAGAGATCTGACCTAACTGACTCCATCTTGCTTCTAACCTCCAAGTAGTCCTTGTTCATTCCTGGGAGTAGGCTGAATTAACTTTGGGAGTTTATAGTTTAATTGTGAAACAAAGACAATCACAGCCCTTTCCCAGGACAAACCCCCTTCCTTCCTGGGGACCAGACTGTCTTTGCAGGACTAACAAATTAGCTACAAGATTAGAAATTATGGTTTAAGAGTCATGCAGCTGGAGGTGGCAAGATTCTGAACCTTCCCAAAGTGTTCCTGGCGATAACATCACTATTTTAAAATCTAGGATCACTACTTGAGATATTTTGCAGATCCTGCATTTGATGGATCAGCTGGCACCACCCAGATCAATGAACTGGCTCATCTGGTCGTGTGGCTCCCACTCCGGAACTGACTCAGTGCAAGAGGACAAACTCATCTCCCTATGATTTCATCTCTGATCTGACCAATTGGCACTCCCCATTTTCTGACCCCCTCTACTCATCAAATTATCCTTAAAATCCCCAGTCTCCAAGTTTTCGGGGAGACTGATTTGAGTAATAATAAAACTATGGTCTCTTGTACAGCCACCTCTGTGTGAATTAAACTCCTTCTCTATTCTAATTATCCTGTTTTGATAAATTGGCTCTGTCTGGGTAGTGGGCAAGGAGAACCCCTTGGGCAGTTTCAATAACAAGAGTTAGCAAGGATGTGGAAGAACTGGAACCCTCATATACTCCTGGGGGAATGTAAAAATGATGCAGTCTCTTTGAAAAACAGTCTGGCAGTTCCTCAAAAGGTTAAACATGGAGTTTTCATATGACCCATTCCTAAGTCTATCCCTAAGATAATGAAAACATACTTCCACACAAAAACTTGCACATGAATGTTCCTAGCTGAACTTTTTATTTTTCTTTTTTTTTTTTGAGACAGGGTCTCACTCTGTCACCAAGGGTGGAATGCAGTGATGTGATCATGGCTTACTGAAGCCTTGACTTTCCAGGCTTAAGTGATCCTCCCACCTCAGCCTCCTGAGTAGCTAGGGCTACAGGTGCATGCCACCATGCCCGGCTAACAGTTTCTATTTTTTTGTAGACAAGCAGTCTTACTGCGTTGTGTAGGCTAGTCTCGAAATCCTAGGCTTGAGCAATCTGCCTGTCTCAGCCTCCCAAACTGCTGGGATTACAGGTGTGAGCCACCACAGTTGGCCAATAGCTGAATTATTTATAACAGCCCAAAAGTAGAAACAACCCAAATGTCGATCAATAAATGGTAAGAAGTAATATATCCAAATAATGAAATATTTAGCAATAAGAAGAAATTGAATACTGATATATGCTACCACATAGAAGAACTCTGAAAACAAAATGTTATGTGAAGGAAGCCAGTCACAAAAAGACAGCATAGTATGTGCTTCCATGTATACGAAATATTCAGAATAAGGTAGTCTATAGAGACAGAAAGTAGATTAACTGTTGTCTAAGGCTGGAAGGGGCTTGGGAGTGAATACAGAGTTTCTTTTTGGGGTGATGAAAATGTTCTAAAATAGACTGCAGTGATGGTTACACAACTCTGACTATACTAAAAAACCACTGAATTGTACACTTTAAATAGTATATATTGTATGGTTTGTGACATATCTTATTAAAGTTTATTAAAGCTGTTATAAAAAAGAACATTTATAGCCACACACAAAAATGTTATGAAGAAAACAGGTAATTTTTTTTTCGAATCTAGGATTTTCAAAGTTATTTTCTAAGAATGATAAAAATCTAAAAAGTTATAATATCACTAGACTAAAAATTTAAACCATTTATGTGACCAAAAAAGGGTAAAAATATAAATGTCTTTAGTTGTCTGTATTCTCCAGCAGATAGCACGCTCCAAAAGCATTGACCTTGTTGTATGTGAAAACCTAATGTTAGGTATACATATTTGTTGACTAAATATTAGATAGTCGTTTTTGTACTTTCCTTCACTAGAGCATTCATTTATGATTGACACATGGTACTATAAAAGATTAATGCTTTTCAGAGTCATTTTCTGTGAAAAGGCAAATATTTTAGACAATAAAAATCTGTTTGGTCATCTTTTTAAAAAGTGGCAAAGAAATGAATTTACTTATGCATACTAAAAACTATAGCATTGGGGCCAGACGTGGTGGCTCATGCCTATAATCCCAGCATTTGGGAGGCTGAGTTAGGAGGATCACTTGGGGCCGGGAATTTGGGACCAGCCTGGCCAACATGGCAAAATCCCGTCTCTACTAAAAATACAAAAATTAGCCAGGCATGGTGGTAGGTACTAGGGAGGCTCAGGCATGAGAATTACTTGAACCCGGGAGGCAGAGGTTGCAGTGAGCTGAGATTACATCACTGCACTCCAGCCTGAGCAACAGAGCAAGACTGTATCAAAAAATAAAAAAACAAAAAAACTATATATTGGGAACACTTTTTAAGCCTTAGATAACTATTCACCTATCCTAAGTTTTGAAAAAAAAGTATATTAAATACATAAAGATATTCTAGAACTCAGTTCAAGAGTTCAAATACACTATAATGAATATTTAAAATAGTTTTCAATGCATTGTAGTTTAGTGTATAGAAGTTATTTACTTCTAAAAACTGATGATTGACATATGACAAACTGTATTTCTACTGCCTGTATAGCTACTGATTTTCTTGAGAATATTTGGAACTGTGTAGTCTGAATTTCTCCAAAGGATTGGAAAAAAAAGTCACAATCTTTACCCCTTTTCTGAAAACACATCTGTTATCTCGCTTTAGAGATTTAAATATTCAGTCTCCTTGGTTGAGAAGAGAGGTCACAAAGTCCACTGAACTCATAGCATCACCATATCAAAGTCACACTGCTGGCACATTGGTGTCTACTTCTTTCATGCCAGCAGGCTATGAAAATGGCAATGAATTGCCATCCAAAGAAAACAGAAATGGTAGTGGAATTTGGTTAGCACTGGGCTCAAGGCTGATTGCACCTAAATTAGGCTCTAAAGCAGATAGCACCTGACTAACGTTCCAAACACCATCTTATCCATACATTAAGTGCAGCAAAAAATGCATGGGCGACATGAAATTTAAACAAAGTTCTAATTTCTTAATATATGGAAGCCAAATTTAACAAAATTCTACTTTCATGAAATTTCATAAGAATATCCTTGAATTTTTAATATTTATACTTATTCTACCACCAAAACTTAAGTAAACTAAAGATTTTAAAAAAATAAAGCCAGTTATGACAGAATATGAGATCCTTTAGGGAACTTTTCTGTTTGAATTAACGACAACAACAAAAATTTAAGTAAAACTTTAAAAAGACCATCCAACTTCATCTGTCATGATGGTTCAAAGAATACCCATAACACGATAAGGCCCTTAGAGTTAATTTTATTTTATTTTTTTGAGACGGAGTCTGGCTCTGTCACCCAGGCTGGAGTGCAGTAGTGCGATCTCGCCTCACTGCAACATCCACCTCCAGGTTCAAGTGATTCTCCTACCTAAGCCTCCAGAGTAGCTGGGATTACAGGCGTGGGCCACCACGCCCAGCTAATTGTTGTATTTTTAGTAGAGATGGGGTTTCAAAATGTTGGCCAGGCTGGTCTAGAACTCCTGACCTCAGGTGATCCACCCGCCTCGGCTTCCCAGAGTCCTGGGATTACAGGTGTGAGCCACCGCGCCCAGCCCTTAAAGTTAATTTTAGACAACGCAGAAAAACTCCTGGTTCCAGATACACTCAGGAGACTTGGTCAACATATGAATGTCAACCATGATGTGACAGATCAGACTTCAATTTCTTTAGACTGAACTTGGACGGCTGCGAAGACGAAAGTCAGGTCAGGACAGGGAGAAAAATTGGGCAAATACGATTTTTTTTTTTTCCATTTCCAACAAAGGTTTGAGGATTAGAACCAGGATTCAGGATTCAGGAGTCCACCGAGGTATGTGTGTGCTGACAGGTGATGGTGGTGCGGAGGACGTGTTGACAAGTTTTCCCCGCCCTTGACCTTTAGCCTAGATATTAATTCTTCCAACTGGGGCAACCGGAGGGAAGAAGCCAGGGTCCACTATCAAGCTGACAGAGCGTGACCTTTGCCCTAGATAGCCTGAGAAAGCTGATGAGAGAAGGTGCGAGAGGTGCCTACAGCCCCCAGGACCGGCCTTGTCCCTTTTGCCCTAACTCCTCCACTTAACCCCACCGCCCATTCCCTCTCACCGGGGCAGGACAGCTTGGTTAGCGGCACCAACATGTTCAAAGTCACCAGGACTCTCGGTCGGACACAACAGGACTGTCCGCTGCTCGCGGTGGGCGCTGGACCTCTAGGCCGCGGGGGGCGCCATCACCTGCCGGAAAGCAAGAACTCTGCTGCAGTTCGCCTCCCCGCTCTGCTGACCGCTCTTGCTTCACTGCGTTCCCGCCTCCTTCTCGCTCTGCGCCGGCGCCATGGATGACGCGGCGGCCAGCCGAGGCTTCCGGGTCATGTACCAAACCAGGGAAGGATAAGGGACTCCAAGTCCCAGCCGGGGCGCGGTGAAACAGCCACAGCGCTGCCAGAGGGGTCCACGAATCTCACAGCACAACACACGCGCAGTGAAAGGCAGTAGAAGGCGGGGCGACGCGCACGGCTTCCTGGGAGGTGTAGTCTTCTATACGCGCGCCCTTCGAGCCCCACTGGAGGCTCGCGCAGGATCCGTGAGCGGCCTAAGGTGAACTGACTCATATGATTGGCTGTCCCGAAAAATGAAAAGTCTTTGTGGTCCAGGGCTGAGACCCACGAGGAGACGGGGCGGGATTTCTGGCGCTAAGAGGCGGGGCCTCTCGGCTTTGGGCGCGAGTGGTTAAAAGACAGTTGGTGTCGGTTCGGCTGCTCGGGCCGGATTCCGCGGTCACAGCCCTTCCCCATGGCAGACGCTGAGGAGCTGCAGGTTTCTTCGCCGCCGCCGCCGCCTCCCTCTTCTCCCTCCTCTTCAGACGCCTCTGCAGCATCTTCCCCGGGCGGCCCAGTGAGTTTGGGCTGGCCAGTTCCGAGCAGGAGCAGCGGCGGAACGGTGGACCCGCTGGAGGAAGTGGAGCTGCAGATCGGAGATGTGAGTGTGGTGTCGGGACCGCGTCCCCCCTCGGCGCCTCTGGGAAGATTGGCGGCGGCGGGGCTCGCGCGGCTAGGGAGTCCCCCAATCCCCACGACCCGGGACGACCAGCCCTTCTGCTCCCCAGAGCGTGAGTGCAGGAAGCCGGGAGGATGCCAGCAGCTGAAGTGCTATCCCTCTCTGAGGGTTCCCCCTTTAGATTTGGTGGTGAGGAGTCTTAAGGGGTTATCCCTCCTCCCGCCCCACCCCTTACTGGTTTCTTTTTGTCTCGCCTTCTGATTTCAATCATCCGCAGTAACCCGAAGCCACGCCGCTCTGTGCTGCCTGTTGCTGGCTCTCTTTGCCTCTTCTTCTCCCATCGGAGAATAGTTTTCACTGCATGGGTTTGCTGGCTGGCTGTGGGTGCTTAGGATCAGGCTGTGATTTCTTTCCATGGGACTTAGAGCCTGCTGTTCTAGTTGGCTACTTGCCCAGGGACAGCTGATAATGCCATTGTCTGCCCCAGGTCTGCTTAACGCTGGACCCAGCTTGAAGGGTTTAGGTCACGTGGATTGGCTTCATTGACGGTTTAGTTCAGGACTCCTCCCTTTGTAGGATTGCTAGAATGCATATTTAGGATAGTTTCTATTAAATCTCGAATCCCCAGAAACTAGCATCTCACCTCCCAACCCTAACTCACACACCAGTGGAGGGGAGAAGACAGGGAAGGGGAGTTTTATGTTCTCTTGAGTGGGTCAAGTGGAATGAGGTATGTAGGGTGTAACCTTCTGGGAGAGTTCTGTGGCCTGACCTTTCCTGCAGATTGGAAACTAGGGGATGAACCAGATTATCTCATTGCTTCCGCAAGTATTTTTCTAAGGATGACTAAAGTGCTTATCCAGCTTTTATTTTTGCAGAACAAACTGATTGCAAGTAAATATGTAGAATGAAGTGCTAATGTGTTATTTAGAAACAATGTTTTATTTTATATCATCGGTGAAGAAAACGTTTGGCTGAAAAGTGAATTTTCCACCAGGAGCTGAGTGTTTTCTGCATTTGTGTGTGATTTTTTGATGTTATTTGTCAGAGCTTAGAGTTTCTGTTCTTTGATCTATACATTTTCATTGTTTGAAGTGTTCACAGGTCAGTGCCCATGTTACCCAAGTAGCAGTAAGAATTATTTATGATGAAATCCCTCAGATACTTCTGGCACTTAGTGTCAAGGGGTCCAAGTTATCTTGTTGAGCTGAGACTCCAGTGTATTTTCATAGAAAACAACAATACTGGACCAAGCGCTGTGGCTCACGCCTGTAATCCCAGCACTTTGGGAGGCCGAGGCGGGCGGATCACTGAGGTCAGGATTCGAGACCAGCTTGATCAACATGGAGAAACCCTGTTTTTACTAAAAATACAAAATTAGCCGTGCGTTGTGGCACATGCCTGTAATCCCAGCTACTTAGGAGGCTGAGGCAGGAGAATCGCTTGAACCCGGAAGGCAGAGGTTGCAGTGAACCGAGATCACACGCCATTGCGCTCCAGCCTGGGAAACAAGAACGACACTCCATCTCAAAAAAAAAAAAAAAAAAAAAGAAAAGAAAAGAAAAGAAAAAAAAATACTGATTTGTCATGTCTCAGACATAATGGATATTTTTCTAGCAGACCTGTTTCTTCAAAGTCTACTCAATATTAAATAATTTTCTTAGGTTCCCTGAAACAGCCAGTGCTTTAGTTTGAAAATTGATTACTTTTAAAGAAAATAACATGGGCATTGGATTCAAAGCCTTAAGCTTTTTTAGACTACTTATAAAATGAGATGAGAATTTTAAAAATAAAATTATGTCTGAGTTCTTTTTTGTTTGTTTTAGGCAGCCTTTTCATTAACCAAACTTCTTGAAGCCACATCTGCAGTATCAGCTCAAGTGGAAGAACTTGCCTTCAAATGTACGGAAAATGCACGATTCCTTAAAACATGGCGAGACCTCTTGAAAGAAGGCTATGATTCTTTGAAACCTGATGACTAATTTGGCATACTTCGTTGTTTAATAATGACTGCAATCATTCAGACTTCTTATGTCATATTTGTACATGTACCACACGTATAGAATGACCTCTGTCCAGGAGTTCTGTATATACTCAGAATGAAATTTTTCTTGGTTTTCTTGGCTTTTGTGAAAGCAGAATACCGATGCTGTTTTTGTTGCGGACCAGTACTTGTTTGTCCTTAAATACTTTATGCCTCTGAACTTTCATAGAGTCCTTTTTGAAAGTTAACTTCATCAATAGATGGTTAATATTAATAGAGCCACAATGCTACCATTAGCAAACTAGGTAGACCATTATTTGTTTTGCAACAAGATGCTAAGCATGGCAGAGTTTGAAATTGCGTTTCATCTTAAGGACCAAGGGGGGAGGTAACTTTAAGGTTGCCAGTGGTGGATCCAGCTCCATTAGGCTAAGTTGTCTACAGCTAAGGATTGTGTCTTTATTCTATATCCCCAGCACCTAAAACAGGTTCACACAGCACTCACTGAATGTTTGTTGAATAAAAGAGTTAACAAACATAATTAAAAGCTTTTTTCTTCCTATATTTAGCATGAAGACTGTCATTGTTTCTTTAGAAAATGTATGAATCTGAACTTTATTGACTTGAAGAAAAACATTCTTTTTTTTTACAGAGATTTGGACTTTGATGATAGGTTTTAAAATATATGATAAATATTTTTTGTACTTTTTTTTTTTTAAAGACTTTACTTCAGAAAAAGGAGACTATCTAGAAAGAATGCATATTTTTTCCCTATTTATTTCTGTGGTTACTGCTTTTGCAGTTTAACCGTGTTTGTATTTGATATTTGTATATGTTTGATGGCTATTTTTAAGGTGCCTTATCAGATTTATGGCTCTGTGCTATTACTTTTTGAGCTTTGCAGGTTGTATACATAATAATTCTAAAGAAGTTACTTTGTTTGCAATGCATCAAATTTAAATGATGTGATTTTTTTTTTTTGTATTATTTGACCTAGTGACAGTGTTCTATTTTGCGTCTTGTATATTATGTTGCTTTTGGTGTTTTGTGTTGCATGTCAACGATTAAGCCAACTAATTCTCCACCATATATAACTTCTGGACATCTTTGATATGACATCTTAATTATTTGTAGATATGGAGATATGTACAGAACTATATTCTAACGCCCAGCAATGGGGCTATGAGAGGGGACAGATGGATGGGCAAAGAATAGTTTTGTTTAACATATTAAGTCATAGTTCTTGATTAGTTTTTTTAGTTAAAGATCACACATAGGGTGTGATTTCTATACCAAAATGCTTATTTCAGTATTAGAAAAATATTCTTACATGTCCTGAAATATGCTTATTTCACTATTAGAAAAATATTCTTACATGTCCTGAAAATTGCAGTTTTTAAAATGTGTAAAAATAAATTCTTATTAAAAGCACATTTTATTTCCATTTCTTTGGATTCATTACCTTAAAACTTTTTACTGACATATTTCAAAGATACAGGAGAGGCAAATGAGTTCAAGAAAATCCATGTATTTCTACCATGCAGATGTAATAAATGTCAGGATTTGGCTATATTTTCTTCAGACACACATATATATGTAATTGCAAATATTAGATACATTTGAAGTTCATTTTGTTACCTCTTTGATCCTGTCCCCTTCCTCCCTCCCTAGAGTCCCCAGAGGTAAACTCTAGAGGTGGCATATATTCTAGCGTGTGTTTTTATATTTTTAATACAAATATATTTTTTAAAAGCGCTATAAAATACTGTTTTATGTATGTGGTAGCCAGCCTCCAGATGGCACCAGTGATCCCTGGCCTCCTGGTGTTCATGCCCCCGTATAGCCTTCTCCTGCATTTTATAGTGCTGACTTTTGTAACTACCAGGATATTGAGCAAGTGCAGTGTGTGATTTTTGAGGCCATATCTTTTACTCCTTTTTTTTTTTTTTTTTTTTTTTTAAGAGACAAGATCTCACTCTATTGCTCAGACTGAAGTGTGGTGGCAGGATCATAGCTCACTGTAACCTTAAACCTGGACTCAAACGATCCTCCCATCTCGCCGCCTCCTAAATCACTGGGATTACAGGCATTTTTGCTCATTTTTCTCTTTTGTTTTTTTACTTGTCTGTTTTTAGATATTACATATTTTGAATACTAATAATCTGTTATGTATGTTTCAACTATCTTTTTTAGTCTGGTTTGTCTTCATATTTTGGTTATGAAATCTTGAATTTTTAAATTTTAATGTAATCTTACCAATCTTTCATAATGATTTGCTTTTTCTGGTTTTTGTATAGGAAATGTCATAAAAATAGTCTTATTCAGCCTTCCAAAAGTTAAAAAATTTTTAACATTTAGATGCTTAGTCCAACTGAAATTTGTTTTCATTTATGGCATGATTTTGGAATCTTGTTTTAATTATTTTTGCACATTTATAGCTGTTCCTCTGAGTATCATTGTTTCAAGTGCAACATCTGTCATGCAGTTACTGTATAAGGGCCAGATTCTGACCTTTCTGTTCTTTTGATCTGAAGGAAATTTGAACATGCCACCCCCAAATACGCTGATTTGGCATACTGATTATTTCAAGCTAAAGGTACTTGAGAAACAGTAGTTGCAGAAATGGCTATGTTAACTGTCCTTTCCCACCTGTAGCAAGCCATACAGACTTCTTTGAGAAAGATGCTTTCCTGATATCAAGATGAGAAGATGGCTCTAATCAGCTGAGACAGTACCAGAGGAATCTGCAAACAAACCTTACTGTTAGTTTCTTGCCATACGTTTACCTTCCCACAGTTTCTGCCTCTGGAAGCCTAAAACTGCTTTCCTTTGTCTGTCACACTTCTCTGAAATGTATTCTTTGTGGAAGATGCTATATAATCCAGAGTTCTAAGCCACTACCTGTGTTTTACCTTTTCATTGAGTTTTCTCCTGTGTGATATACACTGTATATATTAATAAAATTACTTGTTTTTCTCTTGTTAATCTGTCTTTTGTTATAGGAATCTGTCCCAACTATGAACTTGTGAGGCTTGAGGAGAAATTGTATTTCCTCCACTACAGATTTATTTGATTAACTCCATGATAAAACTGAATCTGTCTTTCCCTGTAAGAAAAGCAAAAACATGTTACTGATTTCTAATTCTATTGAGTTATGGTCAACTTAGGACAACTGCTGGTTTCAGGTAGTGAGCTTTCTATGGACACTTTTTAGGAGTTTATAGTTAGACCTTTTTATATTTCTATTTGCTTCATTGGAGAGGTTGGGGAAGAGCTGAAAGCATAAGTATTTTCTCAAAGACTTAAGAATTTGTTTTTAACTTAGTAAGTAGCCCATTACCAGCCCTATGCAAACCCCAAAGGAATGATATAAATTTTTTTTTGAGACAAATTCTTGCTCTGTTGCCTAGGCTGAAGTGCAGTGGTGTGATCTTGGCTTACTGCAACTTCTGCTTCCCAGTTCAAGCGATTCTCCTGCCTCAGCCTCCCTACTAGCTGGGATTACAGGTGTGCGCCAGCACGTCCGGCTGATTTTTGTATTTTTAGTAGAGACGGGATTTCACCATATTGGCCAGGCTGCTCTTGAACCCCTGACCTCAGATGATCCATTTGCCTCGGCCTCTCAAAGTGCTGGGATTACAGGCGTGAGCCACTGCGTCCAGCTGATGTAAATTTTTTAAAGCCTCAAGAGACTAAAGTCAGTAAGATGAAATACTTAACATTAAAAAAAATGTGTTTCGTTTCAAAAATTCTGAGTTTGAAAGATGTGCCAGGTACTACGTTAAGAGCTTTATGGTGGGGCATGGATCACGCCTGTAATCCCTGCACTTCGGGAGTCCGAGGCGGGTGGATCACCTGAGGTCAGGAGTTTGAGACCAGCCTGGCCAACATGATGAAACCCCATCTCTACTAAAAATACAAAAACATTAGTCGAGCATGGTGGCGGGTGCCTGTAATCCCAGCTTCTCCGGAAGCTGAGGCGGAAGAATCGCTTGGACCCAGGAGGTGGTGGTTGCAGTGAGCTGAGATTGCGCCACTGTACTCCAGCCTGGGCAACAAGAACAAAACTCTGTTTCAAAAAAAAAAAAAAAGCTTTTTTCATGTAACCATATCAGTTCTTTGAGGAAAGTGTCATTACTGTTTACCGAAAGGAAACAGGTTGAGATAAAATATGCCTGTGAGTCTTGACACCAAAACTGGTATGCTTGTCTACACCACACCTAGCCACCTAGCTAGACTTACTAATACTCAGGCTTATCATATTATTTACTCTCCCCATGTGTGATGGTTAATTTTATGTTTCAACTTGACTGGGCTACAGATCCCTAGATATTTGTTTAGATAATGTTCTCACTTTTTCAGTCAGGATGTTTTTGGATGAACCCAACATGTAAATCAGTGGACTGAGTAAAGCGGATTGCCCTTCCTAGTGTGCCTTGTGACCATCCTATCCCTAGAAGGCCTGAATAGAACAAAGGGCTGACCCTCCCCCAGCAAGGGAGAAATCCGCCTGAAGGCCCGGCCTCCAACATCAACTCTTCCTGACAGCCTTTGAATTGGCACTGGCTCTTCCTGGTTCTAAGCAGCCTCTGTGCCTTTCAGTTGGGACATCGGCCCTGCAGATGTTTAGAGTTACCAGTCTCCACAATCATGTGAGACAATTCCTTAGAATCTCTCTCTGTTTCTATGGCAAACCCAAAATAATACAACATCCAAAAGCAGAATATTTGTGCTAGTAACTGTATAACACTCAATTTTTTTCCTGAGATTATTTTTATTTTTTTTTTTTGGTAAGCTCTAAAAACCTATAAAGATCAACTGACCAAATTAGAATTGGAGGTATGGAGGTTTGTTAAAAGGTTATTGCAAATATCCCAATGAGACATAATGTTGACCCAAACTAAGGTACTGGGAATTGGGATGAAGAGACTGGATGGATTTAAGAGATGTATATGCAGTAGAATCAAGGGAGGACTGGGTGATTTGATATTGTGGATAAAGGAGAAGGAAGAGTCAAGGATGACTCCCAGATTTCAAGCTTGAGCCATCGGGTGCAATTCAGCAAGACAAGGTCTATAGGAGAAGAATCAGACGTCAGATTCTAGATTCATGCATAATGATGACATTAAAAAGCCAGTGAGATACTCAGGTGGAAATGTCAAGTGGGCAGTGGTATACACAAGTGGGCAGTTTAGGGGAGAGAACAAGCCAAAGGCAAAAATATGGGCATCATCACTATATCCATAGTGTTTGAGGCCATATTAAAGTGGATGAGATTGCCCTAGTCTGTAGATAAGGAAAAGGCTTAAAACGAGTGAATGAGGCTTCCAGTGAAAGATTTTCTCTGAAAGAGGAGCAATTTTATAAAAATTAAACCACTTTTTGTATTTTTGAGGTCTCTTACCTAGAGCAATTCACTTGACAGTTTGTCGAGTAAAATGCATGGCTTTACAATTCCAGCTGTGTATTCCTGCCACTTTTCTCTTTGCCTTCTACTTTATCCATGTCTAAATTGCCAAGGTTTACCCAGTCATTTAAGAGAGATGATGTGTTAGTATGATGAATTAGTACTCTTAAAAGGTGTAAAAAATAAAAGTTGAGGTTTTCCTGATACAAACTTTAAATTTTTAAAACAACTTAGGCTCACTTGATTTAGAGGATTGATTTGACCTAGATCATGGTCCATAAGCTACACTTCTAAGCAAACCTTGATACAAATCGTAGTTAACTGAGTGCTTCTGTTGCATTTTCTATGGAAGTATCTAAGGAGATAGTTATGTAGTATGTTAATAATTACTTATCAAATTAAATTGAAGTTACTCTATTTCAGGAGGTGGAAGGGTGGAAGAGTGAGTGGGTTGAGAAGACAGGAAGTCAAATGGCCTCTAGAAAGTTGTTTAAAAATATGTTAAATGCTAAAGGAAGTTTCAGATGTGTACTTCGTAAATTTAATGCATTTCTAAGACTCTTAAACAGGTTAAGACCATGATTTTTGTTGGACTAAATTTCTTCTATCCATGAGTATTGCTTTTATTCTTTCTTAGTTATTCTTTTTAATAAAAATATTTGGCTGGGTGCAGTCGCTCACGCCTGTAATCCCAGCACTTTGGGAGGCTGAGGTGGGTGGATCACCTGAGGTCAGGAGTTCGAGATCGGCCTGGCTAACATGGTGAAACCGCATCTCTACTAAAAATACAAAAATTAGCGAGGCATAGTGGTGGTTGCCTGCAATCCTAGCTATTTGGGAATCTGAGGCAGGAGAATCACTTGAACCCTGCAGGTGGAGGGGGCAGTGAGCTGAGATCAGGCCACTGCACTCCAGCCTGCAGTGAGCCGACATCACGCCACTGCACTCCAGCCTGGGTGACGAGAGAGACTCCATCTTAAAAAAGAAAGAAAGAAAAAGGCCAGGCACAGTGGCTCACATCTGTAATCCCAGCACTTTGGTTTTGGAGGCCGAGGCAGGCTGATCATGACGTCATGAATTTGAAACCAGCATGGCCAAAATGGTGAAACCCCATCTCTACTAAAAATACAAAAATTACCCGGGCGTGGCGGCATGCACCTGTAATCCCAGCTACTTGGGAGGCTGAGGCAGGAGAATTGCTTGAACCTGGGAGGCGTAGGTTGTAGTGAGCTGAAATTGCGCCTCTGCACTCCAGCCTGTGTGACAGAGCAAGACTCCATCTCAGAAATAAATAAATAAATAAATAAATAGAAATAAAATTTCCTATTCTATTACTTGGAATTAGTAGGAATAGGACTTCTAAGGAATTAATCCTAAAATAATCTTAAGAAAGAATTAGGCCAGGCACGGTGGCATCACACCTGTAATCCCAGCACTTTAGGAGGCCGAGGCGGGTGGATCACAAGGTCAGGAGTTAGAGACCAGCCTGGCCAACATGTGAAACCCTGTCTCTACTAAGAATACAAAAATTAGCCAGGCGTGATGGCATGTGCCTGTAGCCCCAGTTACCTGGGAGGCTGAGACAGGAGAATTGCTTGAACCTGAGAGGCAGAGGTTGCAGTGAGCCGAGATTGCACTACTGCACTCCAGTCTGGGCGACATAGCAAGGCTGTCTCAAAAAAAACCAAAACCAAAAACAAAACCCAAAGAATTAAAAAAATTTTTTTTAGAGACAAGGTCTTGCTCTGTTGCCTAAGCTGGAGTGCAGTGGCACAATCACAGAACACTGCAGCCTCCAAATCCTGGGCTCAAGCAGTCCTGCCACCTCAGCCTCCCTATTAACTAGGACTATAGGTATGTGCCACCATGCCCAGCTAATTTATTTTTTAATTTTGGGTCTCACTGTTGTTTAGGCTGGTCTTGAACTCCTGGGCTCAATGATCTTCCTGCCTTGGGCCTCTCAAACACTGAGATGATAGGTGTGAGCCACTGCACTTGGCCTGTTTTCATTTTGCATAAGCTTTCTTATTATTTACTTTTTGTAGGCTATTTTCAAATTTAAAAATTGTAGCCTATTTTATTTATTTATATTTTAGAGACCGTCCCACTAGGTTGCCCAGATTGGACACAGCCTCTCATGTAGCTGGGACTACAGTTACATTTCACTGCACCTGGCTATTTTATTTATTATAGAACTATCAGTAGTTATATTATTGAATATTATAAGCAGAACTATAGTTTTCTATTATGTTCTGAGTTACATTGAAATTATACCATGTTCTTCATGTAGAAAGCTTACTGAGATTATTCCAAGTAAGCAGAGAAAAAAAAACCCAAAGCAATCCATTTTTAATAGAGTTAAATTTCAGATAATTTATTTTCAAAATAAATCTATACAACTATATATTTGATAAGTGCATTATGGTTTGATTCCAGTATTTTTGTGTTTCAGATGTTTTTGGTGTATTTGAAACTATCTGAAAACATTTTCTTCTCCTACTTAAAGGTTTTAAATTATGAAAGCAAAAAATTCTAATAACTTAGAGACTAGAGAAGAACAACTAGTTAAAAAGTTAGTATCTTACGTGCTGGCAGTTTAAAGAGAAGGTAAAGTCATTTCTTGAAGAACGATTTTCTGCTTAAAGTGAAACATGTACCTATGTACATAGACTTCCCTTCCTCAAATTAAGTTCCTGAATCAGTGCATTCTAGCTCTTTTTCCTTTTAACTGCTTTATTGAGATATTTCACATACCATAACATTCACCCATCTAAAGTGGGTGAATTAAACCACTTAAGTCTGTTCTTAAAACAGCGCAGTTTGTTGCAAAGCCTTTTTATGTTTGTCTTGGCATCCTTGTTGAAAATCAGTTAACTGACCATACGAGGATTTATTTCAGGAGTTTCCACTGATCTAAATGTTTATCCTCATCCTAGCTTTTCTGATCCACTTCTCTGCAGTACTCATACTCTCCTATTTCAATCTCATTTGATGATGTTCATTTAAAGCAAAGAGAAAATTGGCCAGGAAGTGCCAAAAGAAGTGCTGTTTTTGTGTTTCTAGCAAAGCATCTTTTTTTCATAGTAATAAATATGTTGTGTTGGCTTTCAAATGTATAGAGACTTAAAGAGAGGTAAGATGGATTCTTAAAACAGAATATTATTTTGCAAACAGTCAGACATTTTATATGATGCAATTACAATGAGTATTCCAAAACTTTAAACCTTTATTTAAAAGTGCCTATGATTCTTGCTGATGCACATGACAGGCAAAGCTCTACTTCAGGAACTGCAGATGGACTTTGTATAGTCTTTTGTAATTAAACACAATCTACAGATTGAAAGGTTCTGCACTGTCTACTTCTAGGAATTTATTGCAATGCTATGCACATAGTAGTGGGTACTCAATAAATGCATGTTAGAAAAATGAATGAATGTTACTGAAGTAGATTTCTCTTAATTTCTTACATAAAATGTCTACATATATATATATATGTAATTGATATAATTACTTCCCTTTGTAAGAGCATTAGTCCTTTTTATTTTTCCTCATGTCCTTGTAAACTATTTATCTTAGCCATTATTATAAATTAATTTTGTGGTATTCATTTCATACCAGTAAATCCCTCATGAAGCACCCCCACAGTATTCTCTGTGAAGAAATGAGTTTCAGAGTCAGTCATGAATAGGAATTAAGTCTTGTTGATTGAGAAATCAGTGACATTTCACAGGGGTATGTGAAAAGGTCCGGCTTCATTAACTCAGGTGGCATCTCCTGCAGTGGCCACATTTCCACCCAGATGAACGATGGAGCATATGTTTTCTGACCTTTGCTGTCCATAGATCTTCTTTGTCTGTAGTTATACCAAAACTGATGAATCATTTCTTTGAATGGTCTTGTGGTCAGAGTATAGAGAATTGGGTTCAAAGCACTGTTGATGGGCAGAATAAAAATCACTACCCAAGAGGTTATGGTACCTAGAAAAGAAAAATGGAACAGTTTTAGTGTTTATAAATGTTTATAAGGTCTAGAAACCCAATTTCCTTGTTTCTTTCATTCCAACCCCTTTTTGAGTTTTAATTTTTTTCCTTTGAGGTCACATAATTAAATACCAAGTCTCTATTTGTTTCCAGTATATCTTTCCAGAGTACCAGCGTGTGAGGGGAATGCTAGTGCTGAAACAGAATGGCATTCTTTGCTAAGTAGCTCTTCTTGAATACATCAGCAAAAATATTCCTTTAGGTAGAAATATTTTTCACAAAGTGATTACATATTATGATTATATTTTAGGAAAAAAACATATTGTTTAGTATTTAAGTCATAGATTTAAGTGCCTAATAATTAAAAGACTTTTCAAGTATTTTAATAGTGCATATTGTATCTGTCAGAATATGTACGCTTTTATTTAATAGATTTCTTTTTGCCACTTGATTTTAAAACAAAGTGTGCATTTTTTTGGCTTTTGACGAGATACTTATTTCTGTAAAAAATAACTTTGGCTAAACCCATCTTAAAAATCACTCTAGTATACATACAAATACCAAAATACTCTGATTTTATTATAATTTAGTTGATGCTGTCATTACGCTTTGTTTTTATGTTTTTGTTTTTGAGACAGGGTCTCATGCTGTTGCTCAGGCTGGAGTGCAGTGGTGTGAACATGGCTCACTGCAGTCTCGGCCTCCTGGGCCCAAGTGATCCTTGTACCTCACCCTCTTGAGCAGCTGGGACCACAGGCATGTGCCACCATGCCCGGCTAATTTTTTATTTTTTTATTTTTTGAAGAGTTGGGGTCTCAGGGTCTCCCTATGTTGTCCAGGTTGGTTTCAATCTCCTGGGTTCAAGCAGTCCTCCCCTCTTGGCCTTCTTTTTGTTGTTCATAAAATGTAAGATACTATCACCGTCATCCATAGTACAGAACACAATTAAAATTATGTATTAATACATACAATTTTTTTTTTTTCCCTGAGACAGAGTCTCCCTCTATCACCCAGGTTGTACTGCAATGGCGCAATCTCCGCTCACTGCAGCCTCTGCCTCCCAGGTTCAAGCATTCTCGTGCCTCAGCCTTCCAAGTAGCTGGGACTACAAGTGCATGCCACCATGCCCAGCTAAATTTTTGTGTTTTTAGTAGAGATAGGGTTTCACCATGTTGGCCAGGCTGGTCTCCAACTCCTGACCGCAAGTGATCTGCCCACCTCAGCCTCCCAAAGTGCTGGGATTGCAGGTGTGAGCCACTGCACCCTGCTACATGAAAATTTTAAAATGTGAATATAAACTGCATTTTATATATATAAATATACATATTTATATATATCTATATCTAACAGGATATATGCACTTTTCATTGTGGTAAAATATGCATAACATAAAATATACCATGTAACCATTTTTAAGTGGACAGCTCAGTGGCACTAAGTATGTTCACATTGTTGTACCATAACTACTATCCATCTCCAGAATGATTTCATCTCCCAAATGGAAACTCAATGCCTGTTAAACAATCACTCTCCATTCTCCCTTACCCCAACCCCTAGAAAACACCGTTCTATGTTCTATGAATCTGACTATATCAGAAATGTCATGTAAGTGAAATAAAATATTTGTCCTTTTGTGTCTAACTTATTTCACTTAGCACAGTATCTTCAAGGTTCATCTATATTGCAGCATTTGTCAAAATTTCCTTCCTTTACAAGACTAAATACTAATCCATTGTGCGTATGTACCACATTTTGTTTATCCATTTACCTAATCTATGGACATTTGTGTTGCTTCTAACTTTTGGCTATTGTGAATAATGCTGCTATCAACATGGGTGTACAGATATCTGTTTGAGTCCCTGCTTTCAATTGTTTTGGTTTTTTTCTTAGGAGAATTTCCACATTGGATGGTAACTCTATGTTTAAATTGGATGGTAACTGCCATATTGTCTTCCATAGCAGCTGTACCATTTTATTTTTCTACCAGCAATTCACAAGGATTCTAATTTCTCCACATCTTTACCAACAGTTTTTTTTTTCATATGTGTGTTTTTTCAAAATAGTAGTCATCCTAATGGATGTAATGTACATTTTTTTTTTTTTTGAGACAAGATCTTGCTCCGTCACCCAGACTGGAGTGCAGTGGTACAATCACGGCTCACTGCAGCTTCGAACTCCTGGGCTCAAGTGATCCTCCCACACTGGCCTCTCAAAGTACCAGATTACAGGCGTGAGCCACCACACCAGCCTACATTCTTTTTAAATGCCAAGAATGTTTGCTTCTATTATTTCTCACACTCTGACATGATCTTCACTAAATTGCATGTATTACAGGAAGAAAATTTTCTTACATTCTGAAAAAAATGCAGTAATTATTTGAGAATTGTTTCCGCCTGTTTTCCTTTCCAGTCACCTTAAGCATGTGATGATTAGAATTTCAACACTGTATTTAATTTGTTTTGGTCACTCATTGCTTCTTTGTTCCCATAGTAATTGTATTATTAGGCATTTATGGAAAAAAATAGTTCTTTCCCAGTAAATGTTATATTGATGAACATAGCCAAAAGTACCTACAACTATGACTTACAATTTTTTTGGTGGGGGGCTCTGTCACCCAGGCTGGAGGCGCAATCTCGGCTCACTGCAACCTCTGCCTCCCGAGTTCAAGCAATTCTCATGCCTTAGCCTCCTGAGTAGCTGGGACTACAGCAGTGCACTACCATGCCCAGCTAATTTTTGTACTTTTAGTAGAGATTGGGTTTCCCCATGTTGGCCAGGCTGGCCTCAAACTCCTGACCTCAAGTGATCTGCCCGTCTTGGCCTCCCAGAGTGCTGGGATTACAGGCATGAGCCACTGTGCCCGGCTCTGATGTACAATTCTTTAAATTGTTTAGTGTTAAGAATTCTAATTGTCTTCCTTAAAAGAACACTGCACAAACAGATTTATTATTTCTTTAAGGAGAGAAAAAAAATATTGTACCTGGTATTTCTACCTGAAGCAGTGAAAGAAATTTCACTACAAAAATGGGTATCCAGCATAATGCATCAGTAAATACTATAAAGAAAAAACGTTTGGCAAGGATCATCTCTTTTTTAACTCGATTCTGTATTTCAGTTGCTGTTATGGCACTTTGATGAACACTATAAAACATGCTTCCATAGGAAAAAACTATGATGATAAATGCGGCCAAATTAATACCTATTTGGAATACAAACAGTATTATTAATGTATAGAAATATTTTTTCAAAATGAACAAACATAGATAAAACATTTTTATTACTAAAGATACAAAGATGTTATTACTAAAGATACAAAGACTATAATGTGTGGGTTTTTTCTTCATAAAGAATTACTAAAGTCCACAAAAATCATGAATTTTTTTGAGATGAGGCTTTGTGGAAGTAGTGAAGAATGCGAAAATGTTTACTTTTAAAATGAGATATTGAAATTACAGTAATTCAATGAATATCTTGGGTTTTTAAGCTTTCTAGTATTAGTGATGTTTTATTTTTAATTTTTTTAGAGATGGGTTCGTGCTTTGTCACTGACTGAAATGCAGTAGTACATTCATAGCTCACTGCAGCCTCAAACTCCTGGGCTCAAGCAATCCTCCTGCCTCAGCCTCCCAAGTAGCTGGGACTGCAGGTGTGTACCACCATGCCTGGCTAAATTTTGTATTTTTAGTAGAGACAGGGTTTTACCATATTGGTCAGGCTGGTCTTGAACTCCTGACATTGTGATCAGCCCGCCTCGGCCTCTGAAAGTGCTGGGGTTACAGGTATGAGCCACTGCGCCTGGCCTCACACCAGCTAATTTTTAAAAAAATAATTTTGTAGAGATGGGGTCTTGCTTTGTTGCCCAGGCTGGTCTCAACTCCTGGCCTCAAGTGATCCTCCCACCTTGGCCTCCCAAAGCACTGAGATTATAGCATAAGCCATTGTGCCTGGCCTAGTGATTTTTTTTCTAATTCAGTTTCTTTTTGCTGTACTCTGAGAATATTTTTACATTGCTGGTTTAGAACAGTTGTATGTACACTCCCAAGCCAGAGATGTGTGTTGCTACACACATGAATTTGAAAAGAAAATAAATACCATTATGTTCATATTATAAAGCAAAGAGCCAAAACATATGTTACTTAGCATGTTTAGGGTGAATACATGAAATAAAGGTGTTTAGTGTCTTTTATTAAGCTGTATCAGGTTGGAATTTATGTAACAGTATAATTTGGGGAGGAAAATCCTTGCTGGGGATTCTGATAGAATTCACCCTCATTCTTACTAACAGCTGGTTGGAATATTTGAAATAAAAAGTTGTGAATATTAGTTTCTTAGTTTCTTACCAAGGAAAATTGCCACTGAATAAATCTGGGCTCCAATACTTTCTGTATCTTCTGAATGAAGAGGGAAGCATACTCCATTGGTGCCATAGTAGTTTTTGAAAAATTCCTTATTGCTCAATGGAATGAAAGCCACTATAAACCCAGTAATCCAAATGAGAATCAGAACTGTAATTGTTCTGCATTTTCCAGGTCTCACACATCTAAAAGGATAGACAATGCAGATGTATTTTTCCAGTGTCAGAAATGTTAACAGTAAAACTGATACTTCTGTGGACAGAATGGCCAAAGATCCTACAAGCTGACAGTGAGTACTCTCCATCCACAGCTGCGCATGCTTATTGTATTCTCCACGAAATTTTAGGTCAAAGCCTCCGATCACGAATAAATATATTCCCATTAAGCAGTCGGCACCTAGAGGAGTCATAGTTTCACAAATTTAGAGAAATAAATAGGTATCATAAAATCATCAATAAGCAATAATATTTTTAATGCTAGAAAAAATAGCCAAGTTTCTTCTCTCTCAGGAAGAGGTAATTTTTATTCTCCTAAGAATTCATTTACAGATGAGGATCTATTCATAGACTCTCTTTGGTAACCACTCTCAAAGGTGTGCTCTACAATTAATTATGCAATCATGTCTTCATTTTCCTTTCAAGTGCAAGTCTTTAAGAGCAGAGATCTTGTCTATTGTATTCTCTGTTCTAGACCCATCATGTAGAAGTGCTGAATAAATGAACAAAATGCAATCACGTAGAGCATTCAGTTAGGGACCTAGATGAGGATGGCATAATTTGGTTCAGCTCTTCCACTGAAATTCAACCAATCCAACAAGCTCAAGGCATCACATAAAATTTTGGAGAAAGTAATTCACAAGTTCCTGTGATAGAGTTATGACTGAATTTTGAAGCCTATAATTTAAGAGATATGAATAATTATGAACTGCTTTGCAGTCAGTACAATGTTAAGGGGCTTAAATTACTTACCAGAGTTGGTCTAAGCAAAACTGTTTCCTCTGTCTTTCAATTTTTACATCTTTTCCTGTCTCTTTTTAGGGTCTCCAATCCCAGGAATTAGCTCTCTTAGACTACTTGGCGTATTTCTTTTTAAGCAAACGTTACATATCAGAAAGTGGGTGAGATTTTTGGACTGCACAAGCATTCTACACAAAATCCCTAAAATCACATCACTGTATAAATCATAAGGCTGACCCTAAGCCTTTAACTCTGAAGTTATAGTCTAGGCTTCACCAGGGAAATTGAACTTACTAAAAATTTTGTAGCTGGCAATACAAAATAGTAAATGGTTTCTGAGTTCTGTTTCTTACATAGCTTGCAATAAAAAAAAACCCATTTAGACATTAGAGTTTAAATAAGGATGGGGACAGTACATGGGGGCAGCACACATACAAAAGTAGAACCGCGTGTAGATTGATGCTTTACTTGCTTGAGGGAGCATGGATAAATTCTAGGCCACTTGACCTACACTGCAAACATCCTGAGAACTGGTTTCTTCCTTATTTTTCTTTGCAGTGTTCATTTAACATAATACCTTGCCATTACATTGCAACAACTTTTTGAAAAAATGAATACTCCCTGAAAACATTTTCTTATTTACACATTTCAGTTAGAGTGGAAAAAACTTCTGGCAGCTCACAGATCAGGAAAACATGTAGTTGTTAAGTCAATATCTGTGAACTGGACATACAAATAAAAAAGTAAGTACAGGTCTGCATGTAAAATTGTGACCATAGGAGGTTGCAATTTTATTTGTAGTAAAAGATTTTAGATGCTTCAACAAAATATTGTGCCTTTGGAGCCACTGTATGAGAGAGAACTAATAAGTGAAAGCTTTGTTAATGTGTGTAAGGTGATTAAATTTCCTAGTTTAAAAAACCATATTTTTTCTTATTGCTAAAGTAACTCTATTTTCTTTGAAGAAAATGTGAAAACAGCATACAAGCAAAAAGGAGAAAAATGTAAAATTCCATAATTCTACCACTCACATAACTTATTTTCTAATAATAATGCTTTTGTATATTTCAAAACTACAATTCCCCTTTAACCAGGAAATACTCACAGCAGAGAGAAATGATTGACATGGCATACAGCTTGTTCTCAGACCTGATATAAGGTCGCATGCAAATGACAAAAATGTTTCCAAAGCAGGTAACTGCAGATACAACCCAGACAAATACTCTCTGAATAATGCTTGCCAAGAGATTCTCTAGAGATGAAATTCCATCAGTGTTTGGTTTACAGCTGCGAACATGTGGTGCATACCCACAGTACTGGAATTTCTTAAAATATCTGGTATACAAAGAGAAGGTAAAATAAGATTTTCCATTTAATTCAATCTCACCTTACATTCATATTTATTTCCTACATTTTATCGGTAGAAAGAAAATGTCTTAAGATGAAACCGAGAGGACTAAAACATTAGGGATTCTCAAACTTTAAACTTACATCCAATTATCATTAGCTTGATTTCACTATTAAAGAATGTGTGGGTGAGAGTAGCAAATAGGCATAATAAATATAACAAGTGTTAGACATGTCTTAGAATACAAACTGTTAGATGCGATCAAGAGAATGAATCCCTCCAGAGAAACCTTTATTGTACTTTCGATGTTTAGTATATGTAAATGCAGGTACACAGCCCCTATTGTGCTGCAAGTGATTGCTTTCTAACCCTCAGGGGAAGAGTTAAGTGTTTTCTCTTCTGTGCTTCCGTGGCTTTTTGTTATTGAAGTTATGATGTTATTTCAACACCAACAAAATAAAAAAAAAAAAGAAAAGAAAAAAGAAAAAAAAGAAAAGAAAAAATCCGATTAAAAAAGAGGCAAATGATCTGAACAGTTATTTCTCAAAAGAAGACATACGAACGGCCAACCCATACTTGAAAAAATGCTGAACCTCACTCATAATCAAGGAAATGGGAATTAAAACCACAATGAGGTATCATCTTACTCCAACGTTGGATGGATGGCTATTATCAAAAAGACCAAAAAGTAACAAATGCTGGTGGGAATCTGGAGAAAAGGAAACTCTTATTGGCGGGAATGTAAATTAGTATAGGCACTATGGAGAACAATATGGGGGTTCCTCAGAAAACTACAAATAGAACTAGCATATGGGCCAGGGGCAGTGGCTCACGCCTGTAATCCTAGCACTTTGGGAGGCTGAGGTGGGCAGATCACACAGTCAGATTGAGACCATCCTGGTTAACACGGTGAAACTGTCTCTACTAAAAGTACAAAATATTAGCCGGCATGGTGGTGCACACCTGTAGTCCCAGCTACTTGGGAGGCTGAGGCAGGAGAATCACTTAAACCTGTGGGGGCAGAGGTTGCAGTGAGCTGAGATCGTGCCACTTCACTCCAGGCTAGGCGACAGAGCAAGACTCTGTCTCCAAAAAAAAAAGAACTAGCATATGATCCAGGAATCCCATTCCTGAGAATCTATTCAAAGAAAAGAAAATCATATCAAAGACATATCTGCACCCCCATGTTTATTGCAGCACTGATACAGAAGCTAAAAAGAGTATGTAGGCAGTTAGTGAGGGTAAGAGAGTCCTCAGTAAGCTTTCTCTTTTAATAAAAAGCAGCCCCCAAATAATTTATTTTCTAACGAAGAGCATCCTGAAAAATCAAGCTGCAGACATAGAAAAGCAAGCTAGAAGCTTGCACAAGTGAATGCTGGTGGCTGTGCCAATAGGAAAAGGCTACCTGGGGGCCAAGTATGTTCAACATGGAGGCTCCATCTTTCCTTTTCTTTGTCAACCACGTGTACGTAAAGAAGCAGACAACATGGTGCCAGCCAGGTAGAGAACCCATCTGCATAATGAAAGATTAGGGTGGGGCAGCCAGCTTCTTTGCATGCTATGCAAATGGCACAACTGGTCCAAGCAATCTTTTGGGCCCTATGTAAATCAAACATGGCCTCCTGAAGCTACTGCATAAAACCCTGTGCATTTCACTACAGAACTGGAAGACCTATTCAGGAGCCCCTCTCTCTCCGTAGGAGAGAGAGCTTTTCTCTTTATCTCCCCTATTAAACCTCTGCTCTTAACCTCACTCCTTGTGTGTCCACGTCCTTAATTTCCTTGGTGTGAGGCAACAAACCTCAGGAATTACCCCATACAAACAATGCTACTTCAGCACTATTCACAATAGCCAAGATACGGAATCAACCCAGGTGTTGATGAACAGATGAATGGATTAAAAAAATGTGGTAGATATACACAACGGAATATTCAGTTTTAAAAAAAGAATGAAATTCTGTCATTGTGGCAACAAGGAGGGAAATGGAGGACATCACATTAAGTGGAATAAACCAGGAATAATGTTAAACACCTCATGTTCTCATTCATATATGGAAGCTAAAAATATTGATCTTACAGAAGTAAAAGTAGATCAGAGGATACTACAGGCTGAGGAGAGTAAGGAGAAGGAAGAGACAGGAGATTTATTAAATAATTCAAAGTTACAACTAGAAAGGAGAATAAGTTCTCATCTTATGTATCATGGTAGGATGTCTATAGTTAACAATAATGTATGGTTTCAAATAGCTAGAAGGAGGATATTGAATGTTCTGAACACAAATAAATGATAAATGTTTGAGAAGATGGATATGTGAATTATCCTTTATCCTGATCTGATCACTATACATTGTATGTACCAAAACATCACTATGTACCCCACGAAGATGTGCAATTAGTATTTGTCAATTAATAAAAATAACAAATATTAAAGATTTTAAACATGGAAGTACCACAGTAAAAGAAAAAATAAAAGAAGTTATGTTATCTGTAACTACTTGCTAACGTGCCTATCTCTCACACGATTTTGGTACAGAATAAAGGGGTCAATAAATGTTTGTTGAGTGACTTCTTTCATCAATAGAGAGACTCCTATTGTTGATAAATATGCCATGTGAATAATTTATAATTACTACTGCGTTACCACCAACACCAACACCCTTTATTGAGCATTTCTTCAGTATCAGAAATAAGTTCTCAAATGAATTCCGTGAGGTAGGTGTTAGCATCATTATAGGAAGAGATGAATTTTCAATGGAGGCAAGTTATTTGCCTGAAAATTTTCTACTAAATATGTAAATTGAACTTCAAATTAGATCTATTTGCCTATAAAGCCATGTGTTCTGCCAAAAAATGTAAATGATCTTTAGTGTATAAAGAGCTATAGTAAGAAAAGATAAAAACTTGATTACAATTTGTCCTGTCAAGTTCAAGGTCAATTGCTGATATTTCCATTCGGTTATATCCATTTATTCTGTAAACCATGAAGGACAGGAGAGCAGAACATGAGGAAAGAAGGAGTGTTGATTGATATTTTACTTTGCTTTATGTGTCTTAGGCTGAAGTTTTGCTTTTATCCACAGAATTATAGTAACTCTTTGCTTCCTACTTTGGCTGCCCAGCACTCAATCACTCTTCTAATAAGTGGTCTGATTTCTTTTGAGAGAATTACTCCCCCTTTCTGAGAAGTTATGGTGGGACCTTCAGTGGAGGCAATCCCTAGCCCAGAGTAGGTAAGTGCCCTAGACACGATCAAGTAGATTCTCTCTCCTGGAACTCTGAATCTGATTGAATGACACTTGGATGGATAATTCCAGTGGCTATAAATTATTCCTCAGATTTTGTGTTATACCATTTTCTACCAATAAATTCTGTTATGTTTAATTTAGTCAGATTGCTTTATGTTGCGTACAAGCAAGGAATCTTTTATAAGCCATCTTTCTGAGGAATTATGGAAAACAAAAGCAGTGTTCTGTGTTAGACTTAAAATACAAGCAAGATTACAGAGTTGATGGTAGCTGACATTTTCTAAATTATTGAAAATTTCTGTGGCATGGATCATTCTAATAACTGCTATAAAATTGCATTCAATTAAAAAAAATGCTTCTAAAGCATGTAATCACAGGTACAACCAGACATACTCTTTGAAGAAAAGAGTTTTCAAAGTTTACCATCTCATCCATGCATGCTTGCTTGAATCATGCCCTGACATTTGGGGACATTTTCATTGAGAAAGATTTCTTCCTAACTACCTTCATTTGCAGCGTTGATTTATTTGTAATTATTTTATATTGCTTATATAAATTCCTTCCTCTTCATCTGGTAGCACTTGTACCATGTGATATAGTTTGGATATTTGTCCACTCCAAATCTCATGTCAAAAGTTGATTCTCAGTGTTGGAGATGGGGCCCAGTAGGAGGTGTTTGGGTCATGGGGTAGATCCCTCATGAATGGTGTGGTGTCCTTCCTGCAGTAATAAGTGAGTTCTCCTATTATTTCACATGAGATCTGATTGTTAAAAAGAGCTGGCACCTCCTCTTCTCTCTCTGGCTATCTCTCTCGCCATCTGACACACCTACTCCCTCTTTGTCCTCTGCCATGATTAAAAGCTTTCCTGATGACCTCACCAAAATTAGAGGTTGGTGCCATGCTTCTCTTAACAACTTGCAGAACTGTGAGCCAAAATAAACTCTTCTTTATAAACCACCCAGCCTCAGATATTCCTTTATAGTAATGCAAAATGGACTAACATACCCTATATACAAATTACTAGCTCATTAGGCGAACATCAATATCTATGAACAGTTATTAGAGCTGAGGAGAACTTCTTACAAGACCAAGTAGATTCCCCTCACACTCATGTTTCCTGAGATTCAAAAAATCTCCTATGAGATTCTACCAGACTGTGGAAAACTAAAATCATCTCACCCAATATCAAAGGTTTAAGAGTTTTAATTATTGTTTAGACATGTCTCAGTCCATTTGGCTGCTGTAACAACAATACCATAGACTAAGTGACTTAGACAATAAATGTTTATTTCTCACAGTTCTGGAGGCTGGGAAGACAAAGATCAAGGTGCCAGCAGATTCAGTGTCTGGTAGGGGACCACATGTTTCATAGATGGCCATCTTCTTTCTCTGTGTTCAGAAGGTGGAGGGGCAAGGGTGGTCTCCAGAGTGTCTCTTTTTTTTTTTTTTTTTTTTTTTTGAGATGGAGTCTCACTCTGTCGCCTGGCCTGGAGTGCAGTGGCGCGATCTTGGCTCACTGCAACATCTGCCTCCAGGGGTCAAGCGATTCTCCTGCCTCAGCCTCCCGAGTAGCTGGAATCACCACCACGCCTGGCTAATTTTTGTATTTTTAGTAGAGATGAGGTTTCACCATGTTGGCCAGGCTGGTCTTGAACTCTTGACCTCAGGTGACCCACCCGCCTCAGTTTCCCAAAGTGCTGGGATTACAGGCATGAGCCACTGGCCTGGACCAGAGTCTCTTTTATAAGGGCACTAATCCCACTCACAAAGGCTCTGTTCTCATGACCTAGTCACCTCCCAAAGTCCCTACCTCCTTGTACCATTGCATTGGGGTTAGGATTTCAATATATAAATTTTGGAGGAACACAAACATTCAGTTTATAGCTGGCAAATTAGTAGAAAATATTAATAGATTGGATGTATTATCATAACACACATGGAAACAAACATTAAAATCATGATGAAAAACAATAAAAATATCTACTTACATGTGAGAGAGATTCATAAGTGGTCTAAACATCCTTTGTTGGATATTTGAAATTTCAATCCCTTCTAGGCTGCTAAAAATATCAAATTAATAATCAAAGAACATGTGTTATACATAGTTTAATAAATTGAGTTTTCATAAAGGGCAATTTAATAAAATGCTTTTAGTTAACACTTATTCTGAACAAAATAATTATACTCAGCCCACCCACTTCCTCAAATCATCCTCCTTCTGATTGTGCGATTTATACACATATTGTCTTCCTTATTTGATTTATTTTTTAGATCCTCACAGATCATGGCACAATGCTTTGTGCATTTTAACTGCTCGATAAATATGTGTGGAATAAATGCACAAGCATTCTCTTTTATACAATATTACAACAGCAGAAATGTTTTACATCCTTGAAAATTTCCTAGTAATTTTTAATTAATAAATTTTTTTCTAATAAAATGTCATTTTACTGAGGGAACACTCAAATTAAATGAACTGAAGCGTACCTTTTTTTTTTTTTTTTTTTTTGAGACAAGTTCTTCCTCTGTTGCAGAGGCTAGAGTGTGGTGGTATGAAGATGGCTTACTGCAGCCTCAACCTCCCAGCTCAAGCAATGTCACCATCTCAGCCTCCCAAGTAGCTAGGACCACAGGTGCATGCCACCACACTGAACCAATTTGCTTATTTTTATTTTTTTGTAGAGGCAGGGTCTCCCTATGTTGCCCAGATTGTTCTTGAACTCCTGGTCTCAAGCACTCCTCCTACCTCGGACTCCCAAAGTGCTGAGTTTACAGGTGTGAGCCACTATACTCAGCCAGCCCTGAGGCTTTTCTTTAAAGGCAATTCTTCGACTCTAACAGAATTTTTGTCTTTTTTTGTGTGTGGGTACAAGTAAGGATTTATATAATCTAGAATATTCCATCTTGGGGTAAAAATGCCTATAATAAATTATAAAATACCCAGTGTTAAGAGAGTGAATATGCACAGATGTTTTTGAAGGGTCAAAGCAAACCGATCAGCATAAGCTCCTAATGACATATAAAAATACAAAATAATTCATAATTATTTTAAAACTTACAAATATAGAAGATAAAACTAGCAGTTGTCTGTTTATAGTACAGCAAGCACTCATATGTTTTTGTAGAGCTAAACTAATGTTTTGGAAATAAAGCTTATGATTTGAAAGAAATACATAAAAATACACATTGTTAGTATTTAAAAAACAATTTTATCATAAAACTATCCCCATATGTGAATACTTACAGAGACTTGAGTTTGACAAGATAATCAAATTGGTTTGCTTGAATCTTCTGGATTGGATTATAGGAAAGATTCCTGTTTTTTTAAAAAAAACAGCAATAAGTCATTTCTGAAAACCACATGAGTAAAGCAAGTGAATCTGTTTATTTTGGGTTACTTTTAAGTATTTATGAACAAAAGTATACTATAACTCATAATGGATTAAAGACTTAAACTGTAAAACGATAAAGTGACTAGAAGGAAACATAGGTGGAAAGCCCCAGGACATTAACCTGGGTGATGATTTTTTTGGATATTGCCCCAAAAATATGGGCAACAAAAGTGAAATAGATGAATGGGATTACATAAAACTAAAAAGCCTCTGCACAGCTAAGGAAACAATCAACAGAGTGAAGAGACAACCTGTGTAATGGGGGACCATATTTGCAAATCATATATCTGGTAAGTGGTTAATATCCAAAATGTGTAAGGAACTCAGATAACTCAGCAAGAAAACAAATAAGCTGGTTAAAAATTAGGGAAAAGGCTTGAATAGACATTTTTCAAAAGAAGACATATAAATGACTAACAGGTATATGAAAAAATGTTCAACATCACTAATCAACAGAGAAATGCAAACTGAAACCACAGTGAAATATTACCTCACACCTTTTAGCATAATTTTTATCAAAAAGATGAAAGATAAGTGCTGAGGATGATTTGAAGAAAAGGTTGCCCTTGCATACCGGTGGTGGGAATATAAATTAGTACAACCATTATAGAAAATAGTATGGGGTTTCCTCAAAAATCAAAAATTGAACTACCACATGATCCAGAAACTCTGCTACTGGATATATATCCAAAGGAAATAAAATCAATATATTAAAGAGATTTCTGTACTCCCATATTCATTGCAACATTATTCATAATAGCCAAGGTATGGATTCAACCCAGGTGTACATCAAAGGATGACTTGATTTAAAAAAAATGTATACATACATAATAGAATACTATTCAGCCTTAAAAAAATCAGAAAATCCTGTCATTTGCAACAACATGAATGAATCTAGAGGACATTATACTACATGAAATAAGTCAGGCATAGAAAGACAATTACCACATGATCTCATTTATATGTGGAATCTAAAAAAGTTGAACTCATGGAAGTAGAGAGTAGAATGTGGTTACCAGAGGCAGGTGGGGAAGGATTGGAATATACTGGTCAAAAGGTACAAAAATTTCAGTTAGAAAGGAGGAATAAGTTCAAGACATCTATTTTGCAACATACTGACTGTAGCTAATAACAATGTATTGCATGCTTGAAAATTACTAAGAGAGTAGATGTTAAATGTTCTCGCCACAAAAAATAAATATGTGAGATGATGCATATGTTAATTAGCCCAATTTAGGCATTCCACAATGTATACATATTTCAAAACATCATGTTGTACTGATAAATATATACAATTTTTCTTCATCAGTGAAATAAAGATATAGCAATAGCACTGGCCTCACAGGGTTGATTGTACATTTAAGTGAATTAATTAAGATAGAACACTTAGAACAGTACCTAGCTTGTAGTAAATACTCTGTGATTATGAGAGTGATAGAGTGAGAGCTAATAAAATATGTGCATGAAGGCGGAGCTGTCAAGAAAGGGCTGCCACCAGAGAAGAGGTAGTGGACCCAGAAAGAGCCGTACCTATTTCCCATTTTGCCTAAGATCAGATATGGTTTAAATAAAATGAAATGAAATAATCTCATTTAGTCAAAATTTGAATTAATGGAATTATATATCATATCTTTTACAATAAATATTAAGTCATGAAACATGAAATGAAAAATAGACTTCAAAGGGAATTTATTTTTATATTTTAAGTTTTTAGAGTGGGGACTTGTTAAGTTGCTCAGGCTGTACTTGAACTCCTGGGCTCAAGGGATCCTCCTGCCTCAGCTTCTCAAGTCACTGGGACTACAAGCACCTGCCTTCTTAAAGAGAACTGAAAGCTAAATTTAAATGGAGAAAATTTCAGAATCTTTGAAAAACAACACCTTGAAACAAGAATCATTGATTAAAGGAAACTTCTCAGGAAAATTTCTCTTTTTAAAATATTTAGACTGGGTGTGGTGGCTCATGTCTGTAATCCCAGCATTTTGGGAGGCCGAGGTGGGAGAAGGGCATGAGCCTTGAAGTACAATACGAGCAGCCTGGGCAACATAATGAGACCCCCATCTCTACAAAAATGAAATTAAAAAAGAAAAGAAAGAAGAAATAAACAAAAATATTTACTGAAGATTAGACCATAAGTTACATGGGGGATGGAAGGAACTTCTGGGGCAGCCATGGTTACAGAAAGAAGGAAAGAGAGAAAGAATGACAATGACCAATGGGTTGTAGAAAAAAAATGAAGTGGACTCAGCAAACTAGAAATGAAAGGAAACTACCTCACCTAATAAAGGATGCATATGAAAACCCACACTCAATGGTAAAAGACCAAAAGTTTTCCCCTAAGAGCAGGAACAAGACAAGGATGCCTGCTTTCACCACTTTCATTCAACATAATGTTGGATGTCCTAATCAGAACAATTAGGCAAGAAAAACAAATGAAAGGCAGGCATCCAAATTGTAAAAGGAGAAAAAAATTATCTGTTTACAGATAATGTAATCTTATATGTAGAATATCCAAAAGACTTAACTAAAAAGAAATCCACTTGAACTAAAACATTCATCAACATTGCTGGGTACAAAATTAACACACAAAAATCAGTTGTGTTTCTATACGCAATGAATAATCACAAAAGGAAAATTAGGAAAAGAATTCCATTTACAATAGCATCAAAAGAATAATATACTTAAATAAACTTAATCCAAAGAGGTAAAAGATAAATACCCTTACAACTGTGAAAACATTGCTGAAAGAAAATAAGGAAGACACCAATGAAGGGAAAGATATGTTATGTTCACAGATCAGAAGACTTAATATTAAGATGTCAGTATTGCTCAAAGTGAGCTACAGATTCAAGGCAATCTGCCAAAATCCCATTGCCTTTTTTTTTTTTTTTTTTGCAGAAATATAAAAATCCATCCTAAAATTCATATGGAAAACCCAGGGAGCCCAAATAGCCAAACAATCTTGAAAAAAGAAGAACAAAATTGGAGATTTTACACTATTTAATTTCAAAACATACTACAAAGCTACAGTCATCGGTGTGGTACTGGCTGAAATGCAGACATGTAGACTAATGGAACAGAATACAGAGCTCAGGAATAAACCCACAGATACATGATCAAATGATTTTCAACAAGGGTGCCAAGGACATTCAATGGGGAAAAAGTAGTCTTTTCAATAAATTGTGTTGACAAAATTGGACATCCACATGCAAAAGAATGAAGTTGGATCCTTACCTTACACCATGTAGATAAGTTAACTCAAAATGGATTTAAGACCTAAATGTTAAAGCTAAAAACTACAAGACTCTTAGAAGAAATCATACAGGAAAAGCTTCATGACACTGGTGCCATTTTGGATATGACACCAAAAGCATAAGTAACAAAAGAAGAAATTTAAAAATTAGACTATATATAAATTAAAAACTTTTGTGCATCAAAGGACACCATAATAGAGTGAAAAGGCAGCCCATGTAATGGGAGAAAATATTTGCAAACCTGTATCTGAAAAGAAGTTAACATCCAGAATATATAACTCCAACAATCTAACAACTACAGAAAAACTGAACAATCCAATTGAAAAATGAGTGAATGACTTGAATAGATTTTTCTGCAAGAAGATATCCAAATGGCCAATAAGCACATGAAAAGTTACTCAACATCATTAATCACTGGGAACCACAAAACAAAACCACAGTGAGATACCATTTCATATCCATTAGCATGCCTATTTTCAAAAAAACAGAAAATACCAAGGGTTGGGAAGGATGTGGAGAAACGGAAACCCTAGTATACTACTAGTGGAAATGTAAAATGGTTAAACTCATGTTTAAACAGAATGAAACATCCATTAAAAATAAATGACAGAAATGTATGAAACAGCAATTCTACTTTTGAGAGTAGATATCTAAAAATTGAAAGCAGCCTCAACGGATATTTGTATACCCAGGTTCATAGCAACATTATCCACAATAGCCAAAAGATGGAAGCAACTCAAATGTCCATTAATGGGTGAATAGATAAACACTGCAATATATATACACAATGAAATATTGTTCAGTCTTAAGAAGGAAGGAAATTCATTTCTGCTACAACAGAAATGAAATTTGAAGACAGTATGCTAAGTAGAATAGGCCTGTCACAAAAAGATAAATATTCCATGATTTCACTTCTATGAGGTATCTAGAGTAGTCAAATTCACACAGACACAAAGTAGAATGGTGGTAGCCAGGGGATGGGGGAAGAGTGAGTGGGAAGTTAGTGTTTAGTGGCTAGAGTTTCAGTTTTGCAACATGAAAAACTTCTGGAGGTAGATGGTGGTGATGGTTGTGCAGCAATGTGAATGTAGCTAATGCTACTCAAATATACACTTAAAAACGGCTAATTTTATGTTATGCATATTTGACCACAATTTAAAAAATAACGCAATAAAGAAATGAGGTGGCAAAATTAACATTAGTCTTACAATTGTGACAGCTCCTTCAGGTCCTTGAATATAAGCGGTGGAAGATTTTCAATCTTATTACTTCCTAAATCCCTGGAGAAATAATTGCAAATATGTGATGTATTTTCTTAAGGCTTTATTCACTGTTCTGAAATTCATTAGGAAACCACTATACAACTTTTCAACAATGCCATTGGTGAGTTATATTAATCACCAGAAGTCTAAAACTTTAAAAAAGGAGCAAAGTAGGAAAATATAAAAATACTTTGTCCCATTCATCATCCCCTGGAAGACAAATACTTGATGGTATTTGATCTTTTTTTTTTTTTTGGTGGAGACGGAGTATCACTCTGTCACCCAGGCTGGAGTGTAGTGGTGTGATCTTGGCACGCCTCAACCTCCATCTCCTGGGTTCAAGTAATTCTCCTGCCTCAGCCTCCTGAGTAGCTGAGATTACAGGTGCATGCCACCATACCTGGCTAATTTTTGTATTTTTAGTAGAGATGGGGTTTCACTATGTTGGCCAGGTTGGTCTGAAACTCCTGACCTTGTGATTCAACCGCCTCAGCCTCCCAAAGTGCTGGGATTACAGGTGTGAGCCACTATGCCCGGCCTGATCTGGTTTTAATCAATCACATTTTCTAATTCTTTTAATTTCTGTGTTGTGCCCCTTCTTCCTTTGTTCTCTTCTTCTATGTTAGAACAGATATATGGTTTGTGGTCTTAATTTTTGTCTTCTGCTTAGGATTGTTATGATTACTATGGAAGTGTATTATTTCAAGTTCGAGTTTCTTTCACAGCTGATATATACAGGATCTCATATTATCCTGGGGTAGGGTACTTTGCAGGTCATCTTGTGTGTGTGTAGAGGGACTGCTTAACATGGTATGACCTTGTACCTTAGTCCTAAAAGGGTGTTTGACAGCAGCACCTCTCGTGGTAGCTTTGACAGTGGCAGCTCTCATGTGAAAGGCCTCAGATTCTTTTATACAAGACAAAGTTTCAATATACTTGAGCTCTGTAAGGTGATCAAGAGATACTAAGGCAAAGTCTAACCTTTTCTTCTATTCATCTCCAAATCATATTTGTTGCCACTGGGATAGGTAGGAGAATGAATAGATGTATTTGTTATATATGCTGGTTTGCTTATAAGGCAAAAGCTAGACTTTTGACCTCGAAGGGTAGGACAAATTTAGACTGAGTTTTTAAAACTAAAAATAAGTGGCTAATATAATGTGATAAATATTATAAATGTATTTGCTGTAAACTGAACCTGGAGACTATTGTTGTTATTTACATATTTATTGGTGATTGTCAACAAAGATAGATTGTTCTGATTAGACAACTGAAGGAATTATTCTAAAATTCCATCTCTTTCATAAAGACTTGGAATCTCCTTCAATAGCCTACTGTACCTTAGGAGATGAAATCAAAACTGCATTGTGTGACAGAAACAGCCTTCAATTAATTAATTAATTAATTTGAGACAGGGTCTGCCTCTGTCGCCCACGCTGGAGTATAGTGGCACAAATGGCTCACTGCAACCTCCACCTCCCGGGCTTAAGCCATGCTCCTGCCTCAGCCTCCTGAGTAGCTGGGACTACAGCCATATGCTACCATGCCCAGCTAATCTTTGTATTTTTGATAGAGGCTGGGTTTCTTCATGTCTCCCATGCTGGTCTCGAACTCCTGGGCACAAGCGATCGTCCTGTCTCAGCCTCCCAAAGTGCTGGGATTACAGGTATGAGCCACTGCACCCGGCCATAATGAACCTTTAAATATTCAAATGTCTTGCCATTGACTATGTTTCCAGTCCCCTTGCCTACCACTTTCTACCCAAAGTAACTTTTCACCATGGCCCAAATGCGCTTCAGTATTTTAATCCCCATACTCTTCTTTCCCTCCTTGTGATCTCATATTCATCCTTCTAGACTTCATTCAAACATCATTCCTCTGTTGAACCTCTGAGCCCAGGGAGGTGAAGTGTTTTATCCTTTGTTCTCCTATACATTCCTCTTGCATACTTCTACTATAGCACATATAACACATACAGCACATATAACATCGTACTACAACTGTTTCTGTACATATGTGTTTCCTTTCTGAAACATGTGAGTTCTTTGAGTACAAGAACGGTATCTATTCATCTGCGCTACCCAGTGCCTAGCTCAGCTTTGGACTAGCTATTCTCTCCATCCCCAGTTAGAAGACTATGAATAGACTGGTTCTATCTGTTTCATCTTTAGTAAAAGTGGGGCACAATTTCAGTTCCTTGTAGAGGAAGCCAAGTAAAATACTGATCACATTAGTAAAGCAATGTGCAAAACAGATTTAAAATGGTGTACTGGGATATTAAAATTCCAAATGTCATGTTCAACAATTACTGGTGGGAGTGTGGGTTTTTGTTATCAGAGCAAATCCCGGCATACAGTTCTAACAGCATGAATCATGTAATGGGATAGTGTTGGCCCAGATCCCAAGTGACATTTGAAAGGGCCATTTTCTCAGCTCAAGTTTAGGAAAGTTAGGCTAAACTTAATTGGAGTCAAGGTCCATTTCTGAACGAACTCAGGAAACACCTTGTAAACTAGAGTAGTTGACTTTAAAAGCTCAAATTAACTCAATCACGTGGCAAAGATTTTCTGTCACTAGAGCTACTTAAAGTCCTCTGTGACAAGTGAATCCTGACTCTTTGTTCTCATTAACTCTGTTGGTGTGATGGAGCCTGGAGGGGCACAGAGTGTAGTTCAACCCTCTCTCAAAAGGACAGTTTAGATATAGACTCATCCAATGAAAGCCACCGACTCTTAGAAAACATGCCATTTTTGTCCTGGTGAATCTGATTTTTCAGGCAAGTGTTTAATATGGGATTAGGTGTATTAAAGTCCACCTAATAATTAGCAAGACAAATTATTGGCCTTGGTTACTCTCTGCAGTTTGTATTATTCTTTCCTTTACTTCTGAACCTGGATTGGCATTGGTTATGCACTAAGCTCTTTGAGTTCATGTTCACTGTTGGTTATTGACATATAAAATCTGCCACCATGAAGGCTAGGATTTGAAGAAACTATCTATTGATACTCAGGTGTGATTTCAAGTGGATGAAACAAGAAAAAATATATAGTTAGCATCCCTTGACTAACGTGTGTTCTAATGTCTAGATAATACTTTGGATCATCCAGCTGCATCTTCCCCTACTATTGAGACTACTTTCCTATGTGCTGATGATATGGGTCAGTTGTCATGTACCAGGAGTTGCTACAACAGATGGTTGGTTCTATTTGTTTTTGAGATTTTCCTGCACATTTTGTGAATGATTGGTACTGACCACCAAAAAATGTTTCAGGCTACAGATAAAATGTTGGGGTTTCAATGGCTCATTCCCTGATGTTTTGGGGCAGAATGGAGGATTGTTACCTGAGAAATGTTCCAACTCCTGGCAGTGTATTCCCTCTACCTGGCATAAGGAAAAGCACATTGTAACTTCTTGAGTGCTCAGGTAAGGTGTCCTGGTGTTATTTTCATAACATTCTAATTGTCTTCTTTAATTTTTATGGAAAGGTTTTAATAAATCAATGTTCTATCTAGCTAATTGTCAAAACATGTAGCTCTGTCCACATTCAGGTTCTTTCCAGAAAACGGATACTAGCTGGGCACAGTGGCTCATGTCTGTAACACCAATATTATGGGAAGCTGAGGTGGGAGGATTGCTTAAGGCCGGGAGTTCCAAGCCAGCCTGAGCAACACAGAGAGACATTGTCTCTACAAAAAATAAAAAAATTGGCTGGGCATGGTGATGTGCTGTAGTCCTAGCTACACAGGAGGCTGAGGTGGGAGGATCACTTGATTCCAACGAGTTTGAGGTTACAGTGAGCTATGATTATACCACTGCACTTCATTTTGGGCAACAGAGCGACACCCTGGCACTAGAAAAAAGCAAACAAAAAAATGAAAAGGAAAAAAAAGAAAATTGACACTAAAATATAAAAAAATGGTCTGAAGGATAAGCACTTCATTCACTGTTCTACATCTATTTTATTCTGAAAATCAACTACAATGTGCTTAGACCACAGGATTTGGTTCATCATAGAATTGTTATATTGTCCTTTGGAATTACGTCATTGGCATTAAAAAGGGGTATTATAAAAATAACTTCTCTCTTCCATTATTATAGGTAGGAATATTATCCACAGTAGTATCTAATTTCTTTACGGATCCAAGATTATCCTTTGGTTTCAGATCAGCAAAGTGGTGTCTTCTAATCTTATGGTCCCTGAATCCTAATCCTTTAGGAAACATATTAACAAATTTACTAGCCTGGCCAGCATGGTGAAACCCCATCTTTACCACAAATACAAAAATTAGCTGGGCATGGTGGGATGCGCCTGTCCAGCTACTCAGGAGGCTGAGGCAGGATATTCACTTTAACCTGGGAGGCAGAGGTTGCAGTGAGCCGAGATCGCACCACTACACTCCAGACTGGGCGACAGAGTGAGACCCTGTCTCAAAACAAACAAAACAAAAAACAAAAACAAAACAAAACAAACAAATCCACAAATTTACTGTCCTTCTTTAGGAGTGGAACAGAGTGGTGTAGAATGTATTTTATTTATTAATTTTTTACTGGCTTTATTATTTCTTTACAGCTGTGTTTCCTTTAACCCACTTTCCTCAAATATTTATATTTTTATTTCCCATATATTTTTGTATGCTATCTGAATTCCTTTGTGGCTTGAGGTGCATATATGTAAATAATGCTTAGAAAGAGGAGAGAAGTAATATTTCTTAAATGTATAAACATGTAAGTACAACTGTGAAAAATAAAACAGTAGAAAGAAAATTCTTAACAGTATATATGCAGTCATACTTACAATTCATCCAGTTTCTGGAGAGGTGCAAAAGTATTTTCATTTAAGTAATTAATTTTGTTTTTCCTCATCACTCTGAAAGTAAAAAGAAAAATACATTGCAACTTCTTTAGGTAACTGACAAGAATTACTAAAGAGAAGAACAGTCTGCAGAAACAAAGATAATGAATATACGGTACATTTTTCCCATAAAGACATTTTGAAGTAGTATAAATAATCCAATTTAATTTTAATCCTAAATTTCTCAAATGTTTTAATGATGATAATAATAGAAATTCAAAATTTTAAGTGAAATAGGGAGGGAAGAGCTTTGCAAGAGAAATGGTGGAAACCCCTGCTTTTTGAATACAGACTGCATATCTTGCAACCAAGCGCATACGAGCTGTTTTAGACTCGTCTCTTCAGTCTGCATAGCATGTCTGTCTAACAAAATAGCCCACACACCACAGCACTTCTACTCATTTGTTACTTGATGTGATTTAGGGCAGATCTGCCTAAGGAAGTCCACTCTTAGCTGAACCCCTTTAGAAGAATCTCTAATTTGGGATGCTGAATCAGACTGTTTAACTCTTGACTTTTTTGCACTGATCTCATATGTTATCAGCTAGCCTAGAGGACCAACTCAGAACTAAGTTTTAAAGGGCTTTTAATGTTTTAAACATTGTATGATGTGTCTTCAAATTGTCCTTTCTGATTTATTTCCTCACTGCACTCCAAACCATTGCCACCATTTCCCAATATTCTTGGACCTTAAAAGCACAACACCTGCCAAGAGGAAATCCACAAATAATCTCTTAACACAGAGGTTTCCTTAAAAAATAAATACAATAGAAAAGAAATTCTAAGTTTTTCAGATATTTGCTCTGTGTCCTTCAGGTGCAACTTGGTTTCCTTTGGGCAATTACTATACACTATTTTGCATGACTTTGTATCAAGCACCCTGCACCTGAAGATTGCTGAACTCAGGAGGAGTTCAAACTGGAACTTACTGGAACCCATTGGAATGGGGGGTGTAATTGGAGACAACATACGGTAATATCAGTAGGAGTTATTGCATCGCCTATATACAGGGGTCCTGTGTAGTCTAGGATAATGGTTTTCAAATATTTCCTGTGGTAACACACACTAAAAAATGTATTTCATATTGGATCATAAAACACACACACACAGAGACACACACACACACACACACCCTAAGGATCATGAAACAATACATTTACTATCTGTATTGCAGTCTGATATAATCTATTCAATTAAATTCTGTTTCATTTAAAAATGCTCACAAGGGTATACTAAATTATGCTATATATTACTTTCATCACCTACTTATTAGTTGCAATCCATACTTTGAAAAACATTCTGGTAAAATAAGCTGTGAATAGGAGAGTTGGATTTTTTTTTTTTTTTTAACTGAAGGAAGACCTAACATCCTTTACTTTCAACAGAAAATGCCATGTATATTTAAAATAGGCCAAAGATGCATAAGAAGGAATTACACTCACTAACACTTTAGGATTTATCTTGATGTCCATCATTACATCCTCAGGGCTGTGAGCATTGAGCAGTATTTTGTTTTTCATTTTGATTGTAACAATTTTTTCACAATTATAAAGAAAAAATTTATGCCGTAATAATTTGCAAAGGATAAACGTTCTTATAGACTAAGACTTCAATTTAGCGTTTCTCAAACTGAGATCCAACGACAGACTCTTGATGTTCTTTGGGAATTTTCTCCCATAAAATGGGTGTTTTAAAATTTTATTTGTAAGAAAATATAATATTACTTCAAAAGCATAGCATATTACTTACAAAACAGTTAAATTACTGCAGGAAATAAAAGTCAAATTTCTTAAATTATGGATATGGTTGCCTTCAAGGTCCCTGGAACATAAAAATAAAACGATACAGCTAAATCTTAATCATGGAGAGAAATAAATTGGTTAAAATTATTTGCCTTCTAATAAAATATCTTTTCTTTACATACTATTTATTTCATATAGACTCTCACTTGTAGCCATTTCTATTACAGCTGAAATTATAGATATATAATATCTATATTATACTCTCTTTTTCTCTGTTAATAGTAAAAATATTTTGCTTCCCATCTGTATCATGAGTTCATATGGGCATGTATATTCTGAGAAATCGAAAAGAACAAGAAGTCAAATCGAAAACATTTGTCATGATAAATACCTAATTTATTAACCAATATTTCATAATGAATCATATTAAACATTTGTCCCAAGTTACCAGTGGAATTTCCCTAAGTGGTGTGATTTTATTTTGCTACAGTTTGCATCAGATTCTATTACTGTTGCAGAAGCTGCTGCTAGCCAAACAATATTTAGCTCCTACCTTTCCAGCCTAATCACTCCCCAGAAAAAATTCTCAATAATCTTTTACTATTGGGAATACCCTTATTTGCTTTTTATGTTGTCACAAAGGCCAGTGCAGACAGAGAGCAAATAGCAGACCGCCTTAGGTTCTGCATTTCCAATTCAGAGAGCTACATATATCTCTGTCTGTCTGTCTGTCTGTCTGTCTGTCTGTCTGTCTGTCTATCTATCTATCTATCTATCTATCTACAAATATAATCCTCCTGGGAGTTCCTTGCTGTGTGACGCCTGTCACCATAAACCTCCTTAAGGTCTAAGCATAAAAATGTATCAAAATTTTTGTTTTACTGTCTCTTCATAGTTATCTTGAAGTTACTCTTTTATTGTTCCTCTTCTTTCGTAAGTGAGTATATGTTGGAAGTTTATAGAGCAGAGGAAGAGAGCTGAGGTTTAGGGGTAGACTTTCAAAAGTAAATGCTGGCCCTTAAATCTACTCAGTCTCTTCTAACACTCAGCTTACTGGTCACCACGTAACATAAAGCTGTTCAGGAATAATTGTGACTAAAACATGTGAGCAGAAGTGTGATACGGCATATAAAATCTGAAAGGAAACATGGAAAGCATTAATGGAAGTGCCTATACTCCACTGTCTACATGTGAGTCAGTTTTATTTTAGGCGCTGCATTAAAAACAGATGCTGACAAATCAAATATATCTGGAAAATCTGGAAGACCAGGATGTAAAGTATCTAGAAATCAAGGCAATTGAAGAATATGGGTGTATTTATAACAAACAAAAACAAAATGAGAGATATCTTTGAAGTCAGGCTATGGAATATATCAGGGGTTTTTTATGTTGCATTGGATTTTGCAAAATTAGATTTGTTGGTTGTGGGACATAAAACATTTCAAATTTAAACCCAATTTAAACCTATCTAGCAATCTGTGATATCCAGAGAAGAAGTTTCTTTTTACTACAGGTATTTAGCACAGACAATGTATCATATCTCTATAGTTTTGAGACAGGATTTTTGTACTTCATGGGATATTGTATTAGAATCTTAAATATGGATTCTAGATCACCCTTCCAAATTTCTGTCATTCTATTAAGTTGGAAGCTAATCACTTATAGTGCTACTTTTTTTGGTCTTAGTTTTGGCCAAGGCTTTTGGCCTCTCATAATGTATGTTATTCGTGACAGGGAGTGGCCATTTCCTATTTAGTTGCTAATCATTACCCTGAATCTACCACCAGGTGGTGATGCTCTCTTAAGTCTCACAAAATGCTCTTAATGAGGCGAGTTGATGTTCCTATTTAGTTACTTATGTAACTGTTTTTTATTAAGCTGGCAAAAATATTTGTTAGTACTAATTTACTAATTTGTGAAAATAAAAAAGAGGCACATATTGGGGCACAAATTAAGGACATTTGATTAAATTGGTAGTTTAATTTTGCGTTTATTTTAACCTTGGGTTGTATATTTACTCTTTTTTTTTTTTTCCTCCCGTGTTAATAATAAAAACATCTGGAGTCATATTTGCATGATGTGTTTCTATGGGCATGTATATGAGCTTACGTATGAATATGTATATCTTCTTCCTAAAGTTAGGGGTTTTAGTCCTTGATACGCAGGGATCTGGTTTGCAGCATACCTCTTAGCTAGAGTAAAAACAACAACAAAAAAACCAAAATAACAACAAAAAATCTGTTTCTTGCTCCCTAGCTGCAAGCTTTAATGGAGTTAACAAAGGGGTGTTTAATTTTAATTTTTATTTTTTTACTGTGTTTAAACCACCACCCTTCCTATCTAATGAACCTCTGAGCCTAACCATTTTACTTTTCCCTTTATACCTGGTAGAATTGGATAAAAATGAAAACTTTGGTGGTTCTTCAATCTGAATAACAAAAATAACAAAAGACAAAAACTATAATCTTGTCTATTCTCCCTTAACTTGTCCCCTAGTGGCATTCAAACATGCAAATCTTACTCTCTATCTGCTTCCTCCTCTACCTTTTAAACATTTCTGGCTCCTATTTCACAGAGAAAATTGAGGTGATGAAGAAGGGAAAAGCCCTTGACTTGCTGCCCAACATCTGTAAACTTACCTGTATATGCACCTGGTCTCCTTCTAATCTCAGAGGAAGAGATGACCCTTCTCCTGTTTTAGGCTAATCCCTCCATCTGTTTTCTTGAGTTTGGTTTGTGTATGTGTATGTCCTAAAATACATGGTCAGTTTTGGTGAATGTTCTTTGGACATTCTTTGCTTTCAAGTTCATATCTATTAGGATTAGGTGCACATACATATAACAGAGACCCATCCATAATAGCATAAATACACAGAGTTGTTGGGGTTTCTTCCCCCAAGGAAAAAAAAAAAAACTAAAGTTGGGCAGTTCAGGGCTGATATGGTTGTTTTACAAAGTTGTTAGAAACCCAGGATCTCTCATATTCACTGATCACATGCTCCTGTCTTCATGGTACAAGATACTGCTAAAGCTGAAGCCATCATATTCATTTCTTTTTTTCTGGATAAAGAAGGCAAAGAAAGGACCTGCATCTTTCTCTTTAAGGAGATTTTCCTGAAATTCTGTACTGTAATACTTCGACCTCTCTGGTCAGAACTTAAGACATATCCTATATGTGGATGCAGGGAAGTGTGGGAATGTAGTATTTTAGCTAGTTATGTTTCTGTCCCAAAGAAAGCAGTTCTGGTATTGAGAAGGGGCATTGCAGTTTGATATACACTGATTAGCATTAACTTACCAATCATGTTATTTATTTATTTTGGTTCTACTTGATTTTTTATGGAGTGAGAAGTGGTGGATTATCTTTATTTTTATTTTTATTTTTGAAAAGGAGTTTCGCTCTTGTTGGCCAGGCTGGAGTGCAATGGCACGATCTCAGCTCACTGCAACTTCTGCCTCCTGGATTCAAGCGATTCTCCTGCCCCAGCCTCCTGAGTAGCTGGGATTACAGGCATCACGCTTGACTAATTTTTTTTTTGTATTTAGTAGAGACAGGATTTCACCATGTTAGTCAGGCTAGTCTCAAACTCCTGACCTAAGGTGATCCACCCGCCTGGGCCTCCCAAAGTGCTGGGATTACAGGCATGCACCACCGCGCCTGGCCCAGTGGTGGATTATCTCTTACTGCTTACATATGTCTACATTTTCTTTTGTTTTGGTTGCTATATTAATTTCTTTGGTGTGTATAGACTCGTAATGTGGTATCTTTTATTGGAAATTGCAGTTATAGCATTAAAATGTCATTGTGTTGTTTAATGCATATTGGCCAGAATTCCACCTACTTAGATAAAACATACGATGCTTGCTTTCTTTTGTTTGCAATTACATGACATACTTTAAAAAAATTGTACATACTTACGGTGTATAGCCTGTTTTGATATACAGTACATAGTAAAATGATTACTACAGTCAAGCAAATTAACATATTCATCACCTTACATAGTTAATTTTTTTAATGGTAAGAGTACCTAAACTCTACCTTCTTAGCAAATTTCTACTATACAATACAGTATTATTAAACTATAGTTCTCATGCCATATATTAGATCTGTATTCTTACTCATCTCATAACTGTAATTTTGTACCCTTGAAACTACATCTCCTCATTCCCCCTGCCATGACCCATAGCCACGATTCTACTCTCTGTTTCTATGTGTTCAACTTAAAAAGAAATTCCACATATAAATGAGATTATGCAGCATTTTTCTTTCTGTCTCTGGCTTATTTCACTCAGCATAATGTCCTCTAAGTTCATACATGTTGTCAAAAATGACAGGATCTCTTTTAAGGCTGGCTAGTATTCCATTGTGTATATCTACCACATTTTCTTTATCCATTCAACAGCTGTTGGACAATAAGGTTGATTAATATCTTGGCTATTGTGACTAATGCTGCAATGAACATGGCAGTGAAGATATCTCTTTGACATACTAATGGAATTTCCTTTGGATATATACCCAGAAGTGGGACTGCTGGATCATATGGTAGTTCTATTTTTAATTCTTTTTTCTTTTTTTGAGACGGAGTCTTGCCTGTCGTCCAGGCTGGAGTGCAGGGGTGTGATCTTGGCTCACTGCAACCTCTACCTCCCGGGTTCAAGTGACTTTCCTGCCTCAGCCTTTTGTGTAGCTGGGATTACAGGTGCCCGCCACCATGCCTGGCTAATTTTTGTATTTTTCGTAGAGATGGGGTTTCACCATGTTGGCCAGGCTGGCCTCGAACTCCTGACCTCAGGTGATCCACCCATCTCTGACTCCCAAAGTACTGGGATTACAGGCGTAAGCCACTGCACCCAGTCCTATTTTTAATTTTTAGAGGAAGCTCCATATGTTTTCCATAACAGCTGTACTAATTTATATTCTCACCCACAGTGCACAGGAATTCCTTTCTAGTTACATCCTTGTCAACACTTGTCATCTCTTGTCTTTTTGATAATAGAGATTCTAACAGGTGTGAGGTGATACCTCATTGTGGTTTTAATTTGCATTTCTCTGATGATTAATGTTGAACATTTTTGCATATGCCTGTTGGCCATGTGTAAGTATTTTTTGAGAAATATCTTTCCAGGTCTTCTTTCCCAGTCTTTTTTCTTTTAATAGGTGAGTTTAGCCTACTTATATTTATTGATATAATAGAGTTGGCCTTAGTCTGTTATTTAAAAATATTATTATATGATTGCGTAGGTTTAAAAAACTTTCACCTCAGGTTTTTTTGTGTAATATTTATCTTAACCTAATGGTGTTTTAAAAAATGTATTTTTTACGATATTTAGAAAGGTTTGTATATTCTATTGGCAATCTTTATAACTTTACCCAATGCACTATACCTTCTTTCTTTTGATGATACTAAGAAATGATAAAATTTGTGTACATTGTCTTCCTCTCTGCTCCTCTGCCTCTCTTTACCATATAATATTGGTTCATTACATGCTTTTTATTGGTGTTCACCTTGGGAACCACTATGTGTCTAATCTATGGATTTGTCAGTTGTTGTTTGTTGTTTTTTCCAGAGACAGGTCTCCCTCTGTTGCCCAGGCTGCAGTGCAGTGGCACAATCATAGTTCATTTCAGCCTTGATCTCTCAGGCTCACGCTACCCTCCCACTTCAGCCTCCTGAGTAGCTGGGACTGCCTACAGGTGCATGCTACCACGCTCAGCTAATTTTTACTTTTTATTTTTTTTGAGACAGAGTCTCACTCTGTTGCCCAGGCTGGAGTGCAATGGTGTGATCTTGGCTCACTGCAACCTCCGCCTCCAGGGTTCAAGGATTCTCCTGCCTTAGCCTCCCGAGTAGCTGGGATTACAGGCACCCATGACCACGCCCAGCTAAACACGCAGCTAATTTTTTTAAAAAAAATTATTAATAGAGACAAGGTCTCACTACATTGCCCAGGCTGTTCTCAAACTCCTGAGCTCAAGGGATCCTCCTGCCTTGGCCTCCCAAAGTGTTGGGATTATAGGTGTGAGCCACCACGCTCGGCCAAAGATTCATCAGCTTTAAATGACATCCTTTGACTTTTAGCTATTTCTCTTCACAGTTCTATTGTTTTTCACTTTATGTATTTTGAAACTGTTTACTCATTTAGGATTATCACATATTTTTGCTTAACTGATCTTTTTATTATTATATGATATCCCTCATTTATCCCTGGTGATAATCCTTGTTCTGAAATCTTTTTCCTCAATATTACCATAGTCTTTCTGGCTTTTTAAAAAAGTTAGTGTTGCGTTTCTTGTCCTTGTTTTACAGTGTATAATGTTTCTATTTTCTCTGATTGCCTTAAGATACTTTTCTTTATCTTTGGTTTTCAGCAGTTTGACTATAATTTGTCTAGTTTTTCTTGACTTCTGCATGGATTTTTCTGAGGTTCTTAGATTTCTGGTTTGTGGTATTATATTAACATAAGAAAATTCTTGGCTATTATTTCTCCAGCTATGTCTTCTGTTCTGTTCTTCCTTTTTTTTTTCTGTGACTCCATTTACACATTTGTTAGATAATTATATTATCCTGCAGCTTTTAGATTCTCTGTTTTGCCTTTATTTTTGTCTCTTTTTTCTTTTCGTTTCCATTTGAAAGCTTTCTTCAAGGTTGTTGATTCTTTCCTTAGCTGTGTTCAGTCTGCTGCTAAGGCTGTTGAAATAATTTTTGTTTCTCTTTTGTAGTTTCCATCTTTTGCTAAGATTTTCTTTATGTTCTTGCATATTATCCATATTAGTCATAAGCATTTTAATGTCTTTCTTTGGAAGTTGTAAAATCTGAGTTATTGCTGGTTCTGGTTTTGTTGATTGCTTTATAATTTGACAATGAACTTCTTTTTCCTTACCCTTTTGGGGATAGGGCTGTCTCAGCTTTGCTGTTCCCCCTTCCCCAGAAGCCAAACTCTCATAAGAGCATTTCCTGCCATGACCCAAGTGGGCACTACCCACCGCTTTGATCCGTGCAAGATCCTGGGCTGGAGTGGGTTTTTTTTTTGTTGGTACCCTGGGGCAGAATGCTCTAGTTTCTATTCCTCCTATGGAAGTAATGGATATTTGCCTGGTCCCTGGGTGCAGGAGGATTTTCTGTCCCACTCCAAAAGGCTTAATACTTTTGTTCCCTGAGAGGGGTGAGTTTAGAGAAGAAGGTAGAGTTTTGTGTCTGTGTGCTACAATAAGGGCTCTGTCTGGTTTCCTTACCTACTCCTAGTTTTTCTTGGGATTGGTGGACCTGAGTGAAAAAGAGCCTATTAAAGATAGCTACATCTTACCCTTGCATATGGGGTTCCCAGTTCTTCTAAAGTGCTATAGTAGCCCACACTTAACCTTACAAGTTCATTAAAGTTTTAGCAGCTTTCTTTGTACCTGGTTTCACGCCAGCCAACTCTTCATCCTGTGCTCTGCCAAAGGCAAATAGTATGTATGTCCCACATCTCCTTGTTGTTTCTTAGAATTCCATTTATTTGGCTACCTTATGACTGTAGCCTACTGATGGGCTCCAGAAAATTATGACTTTGTAGATTATAAAGCTCTTTCTTATTGGTAGAGAGGAAGCATTGTTGTCTCGTGGCTTTCTATATCTTAATCACAATAGTATAGGAATGGAATTATAATATATGTAGTCTTCTATGACTTTTTGTTGAATAATTCATATGTTCTTGAAATTGAGTCATGTTGATTGAAGTACTGATAGTCCATTCATTTTCACTGCTGTGTGTATGCGTGTGTGTGTGTGATCACATTTCATTTTTTCATTCTTTTCCATGTCTTCTAGTACTTTGCACTATTATGCATTCCCATCGTCTTCTATATTTTCAAGCTTTTCATATTGACTTCTTTGGCTAAGAAATAAACTTGCTTAATTTCATCTCAAAAGAAAAGTTTACTTTATTTCTTGACTTTTAGTTCACCTTTGGCTATTGCCATATCTGTCCTTATGCTTACTTATTACTTACATTCCTTTCTTTTTGAATTTTACAACTTTTATTGTGGCATTTACAGTTTCTCATTGCTTTGCAAGAACTAATAGAGGTTTCAGTTTATTGTCTTGCAAATATCTTACAAGCATAATTTCCTGGGCTGTCATCTGTCTCTTTATTTTGTGTGTATTTTTCCCCTAAATCAGAGTTTAAATAATGTTTGGCCAACAAATCTGTCAGATTTTCTAGTTCATACTGTGCTAAATGAAAGTTCATGCACGGTAAGTATGCTGTGATCAGTTATAAAAAGGTGAATAATTATAAAGAAAAGTATTATTATTAGTAGAATTAAAATCAGGATAATATTCACTATCAGGAATTCATATGGAATAAGTTGTTCTGGATAGCTAGAATTTACATATGAAAACTTTAGTAACAAAATTTTTAATTTTATTTTTTAATTTTAATTTTTCTAGTAATAAATCTTAATCATATTGATGTTTATCTGAAGTATATTGTATATTTTCTTGCCTTTTTATAAACAAAGGCAAGGTTTATTATTGCCTGTACATAATACATAATACATAATACACACAGTTGCTTCTGGTCTAAATGCACACATTTTAATTGCTAATTACATAAGTATTGTTCAATTGTGCTTAATTACTAAGTTGGGATTACTGAGGCTGTAATAGATGCTAATGTATTCATCTGAACCAAAATTCAATTTTAATGAAGGATATTGAACTTAATTTGCCCTTTCCTTTATGGCTTAGCTTGTTTTCAATGTATAGTACAGTATTGTTCTGTCATACCAAAATGCCTACTGGACTTAGTAACTTTTCAGGATGTTTGTTTTTTTCTGAGAGGTTGCAAATTAGTACAGTTTGAATTACTGTCATTGCTTTTTATAGCACTTCTCACTTACGCTTTTTTATCAAGTTGGTAGTTGTTACCTCTGACTACAATCAATGCTTCTGACTCTAATTTTTCCTCTTCCTTTTAGTTTGACATTTGTAATCTGGTATGAGCTTAGAAATCAAACAACCAACTTGTGAGAATTTCTTGTAAAATAAGAGACAGAGGGAGTTTTCATATGATACAGCATATGGCAGTTTGTCGACTGAACTTGTTAATAGTTATTTTGATTATTTCTTTCTTTTATATTTTACTGTATTCTAAATAGACAAATTTACTGGATGATTGAGTTTGGAATGGTGGAGTGATACTTATCACTACAAGCAAAGCTACTGTGTAAATATTCCATGGAACATATTTTACCATGATTAGTTGTTAAAAAAATATTCCTATTATTCAGAATTCTAGAGTGAAATTAAAATGACTTAGTCTTTCTGTACCAAATTAGAAGGTGAGTATATCAGCAGGGAAAGGCGAAGATGTTATATAGATGCCAGGACATTCCTTCTGTCTTTCTTCTTCCTGGCTCCAGTATATATATATATATATATTTTATTTTATTTTTTTGAGATGTTTTATTTTGCTGAGAGTTTAGAGACTTTAGTTTAGATAATGTAGATGTTTAACATAAAAATCATGTTAAAGCAGTTTGAAGAAATGTGATATGATGTTAAAAACCTTATCATTTTAAAGAAAACCTAAAACAATCTGATACCTGGAATGAATTAGGTAAAAACAGAAAATTTAATTGAGTTCTTTAAAAAAAGACACAATCGCTTACAGCCAATGTAGTCTCGGCATGTGTTGACAGAGAGGTTTGTCAGGTAAACGGGTGAGGACATTATTCATCAGGACTCTGAAAAAGGAAAAGACAAACAAGTCACATTTTTCTGGTTCTCTTCTCATCTTGGATCAAACATGGTATTATTGTTATTATTATGAAATCACACAAATCCACTACATTAGTTTTTTCCTTCTAATTTTTTTTTTTTTGGAGATGGGGTCTGGCTCTGTCACTCAGGCTGGAGTGGTGTGGCACCATCTCGACTCATAGAAACCTCTGCCTCCCGGGTTCAAGTAATTCTCCTGCCTCAGCCTCCCGAGTAGCTGGGATTACAGGCATGTGCCACCATACCCGGCTAATTTTTGTATTTTAAGTAGAGGTGGGGTTTCACCATGTTAGCCAGGCTGATCTCGAACTCTCGACGTTAAATGATCCACCCACCTTGGCCTCCTAAAGGGCTAGGATTACAGGCATGAGCCACCATGCCCAGCCTTCCCTCTATTTTTTTCTCTGCAAGTCTTATTATATTAAAATACTTGATAGTAATAAAATTTTGACAAATATAAGCTATTATATAGAGGAAAGCAGTAATGCTAGTAACTGAAAAAAAAAAAAAAAGCCTAAACCCTTCAACAACGAATGGTGGAAAGGAGATGATTTAAAGGAATTTTTTTCTTTACCAAGATTAATGTAGGCACACCTTGTTTTATTTTTATTTATTTAGTTATTTATTTCATTTGAGACAGAGTCTTGCTCTGTGGCCCAGGCTGGAGTGCAGTGGTACGAGCTTGGCTCACTGCAACCTCCGCTTCCCAGGTTCAAGCAATTGTCCTGCCTCAGCCTCCTGAGTAGCTGGGATTACAGATGCCCACCACCATGCCCGGCTTTTTTTCTTTTTGTATTTTTAGTGGAGATGGGGTTTCACCATGTTGACCAGGCTAGTCTTGAACTCCTGACCTCAGGTGATCTGCCCACCTCGGCCTCCCAAAGTGCTGGGATTACAGGTGTGAGCCACTCCACCTGGCGGACCTTGTTTTATTGTGTTTTGCTTTATTGCACTTTGCAGATACTGCGTTTTTTAAAATTGAAGGTTGTGGCAACCTTGCATTGAGCAAGTCTATGAAAGCCATTTCTCCAACAGCATGTGCCCACTTAGTGTGTCCGTGTCACAGTTTGGTAATTCTCAGAATATTTCAATTTTTTTCCCTTTTTCGAATCAGGTTCTTGCCTTGTTGTCCAGGCTGAAGTGCAGTGGTGTGACCATGGTGCACTGCAGCCTCAAACTCCTGGGCGCAGGTGATTCTCCTGTCTCAGCCCCCTGAGTAGCTGGGACTACAGGCATGTGTCACCACGCTCTGCTAACTAAAAACAATTTTTTTTTTTTCCCATAGAGATGGGGTCTTGCTATATTGCCCAGGCTGGTCTCAAACTCTTGGCCACAAGTTATCCTCTCTCCTTGACCTCCCAAGGCATGAGATTACAGACGTGAGCCACCCTGCCCAGCCATCAAATTTTTTATTATTGTATTGTTTGTGGTGATCTGTGATCAGTGATCTTTGATGTTACTATCACAGTAGTTTTGTGGTCACAAACCATGCCCATATAAGACAGCAATCTTTTTTTTTTTTTTTTGGTGAGACAAAGTTTCACTCTTGTTGCCCAGGCTGGAGTGCAATGGTGCAATCTCGGCTCACTGAAACCTCCACCTCCCAGGTTCAAGAGATTCTCCTGCCTCAGCCTCCCGAGTAGCTGGGGTTACAGGCATGTGCTACCACACCTGGCTAATTTTGTATTTTTAGTAGAGATGGGGTTTCACCATGTTGGTCAGGCTGGTCTCAAACTCCTGACCTCAGACGATCTGCCTGCCTTGGCTTCCCAGATTGCTAGGATTACAGGCCTGAGCCACCGCACCCAGCCAAGACAGCAATCTTAATCCATAAATGTTGTGTGTGTTCTGACCACTCCACCAACCAGACATTCCCCCATCTCTCTCTCCTCAGGCCTTGTTATTCCCTGAAACACAACAATATTGAAATTATGCCAATTAATGACCTTGCAATGGCTTCTAAGTGTTCAAATGAAAGGAAGAGTCCCACAAGAATTATGGGCCCTCAAGAATTATGCTAAATCTACTCTGCCTGTGCTCTGCAATGGAACAACAAAATCTGAATGACAGCACATCTGTTTACAGCATGGTTAACCAAATACTTTAAGCCCACTCTTGAGACCTACTGCTCAGAAAAAAAAAAAAAAGATTTCCTTTCAAGATATACTGCTCACACACCTTCTCACCTTAAATCAAAAGGTAGAAATGATTAAGCATAGTAAGGAAGGCATTTCGAAAGCTGAGATAAGTCAAAAAACCAGGCCTCATGCACCAATTAGCCAAATTGTGAATGCAAGGGCAAATTCTTGAAGGAAATTTAAAGTGCTACTCCAATGAACACACAAATGATAGGAAAGTAAGACAGCCTTATCACTGATGGAAAAAGTTTTAGTGGTCTGGATAAAAGATCAAACCAGCCACAACATTCCTTTAAGCCAAAGCCTAATCCAGAGCAAAGCCTAACTCTACTTCATTCTATGAAGGATAAGAGAGGTGAGGGAGCTCCAGAAAAAAAGTTTAAAGCTAGCAGATGTTAATTCATGAGGAAAGGAAAGAAGCTATCTCTATAACAGAACATTGCAAGGTGAAGCACGAAGTACTAATGGAGAAGCTGCAAGTTATCCAGAAGATCTAGCTAAGATCATTGATGAAGGTGGTTCCACTAAACAACAAATTTTCAAAGTAGATGAAACAACCTTCTATTGAAAGAAGATACCATACAAGACTTTCATAGCTAGAGAGGGGAAGTCAATGCCTGGCTTCAAAGCTTCAAAGGACAAGCTGACTCACTTGTTAGAGGCCAATGGAGCTGGTGACTTTAAGTGAAAGTTGATGCTCATTTACTACTCCAAAAATCCTAGGGCCCTCAAGAATTACGCTCAGTCTACTCTTCCTGTGCTCCACCAATGGTACAACAAAGCCTGGATGACAGCATATCTGTTTACGGCATGGTTTACTAAATACTTTAAGCCCACTCTTGGGGCCTCAGAAAAAAAAGATTTCCTTTCAAGATACACTGCTCATTGACAATGTACCTGGTCACCCAAGAGCTCCAATGGAGAGCTACAAGGAAGTTCATGTTGTTTTCATGCACGCTAACATGACATCCATTCTACAGTCCATGGATCAAAAACTAATTTTAAATTTCAAGTCTTATTATTTAAGATGTACATTTTGTAAGGCTATAGATGCCATAGATAGTGATTCCTCTGATGGATTTGGGCAAAGTCAATTAAAAACCTTCTAGAAAGCATTCATTATTCTAGATGCCATTAAGAACATTTGTGATTCATGAAAGTAAGGTCAAAATATTCACATTAACAAGAGTTTGGAAGAAGTTGACTCCAACCCTCATGGGTGACTTTGAAGGGTTCAAGACTTCAGTGGAAGAAGTAACTGTAGATGTGGTAGAAATAGCAAGAAAGCTAGAATTAGAAGTGGAGCCTGAAGATGTGACTGAATTGCTGCAATCTCATGATAAAACTTGAACGGATAAGGAGTTGCTTCTTATGGATGAACAAAGAAAGTGGCTTCTTGAGATGGAATCTACTCCTGGGAAAGATGTTGCAAACACTGTTGGAATGACAACAAAGTATTTAGAATATTACATAAACTTATTTGATAAAGCAATGACAGGATTTGAGAGTATTGACTTAAATTTTGAAAGGAGTTCTCTTGTGGGTAAAATGCTAGCAAATAGCATTTCATACCACAGAGAAATCTTTCATGAAATTAAGAGTCAATCAATGTAGCAAACTTCACTGTTATCTTATTTTAAGAAATTGCTACAGCCACCCCAGCCTTCATCAACCACCACTGTGGTTAGTCAGCAGCTGTCAACATTGACATGAGATCTTTCACCAGCAAAAAGATTACAACTCGCTGAAAACTCAGATGACTGTTAGCACTTTTTAGCAACAAAGAATTTTAAAATTAAGGTATGCACATTTTTAGACATAATGTTATTGCACACTTAATTGACTACAGTATAGTGTAGACATAACTTTATTATGTGCACTGGGAAACCAAAAAAATTTGTGTGAATTGCTTTATTGTGACAAGGCAATACTGCTTTATTGCTTTATTACAGTGGTCTGGAACCACACCCACAATATCATTGAGGTCTGCCTGTATAGAGCAGTAACGATGTGCTTAAAAATATTGTGATAAAGGCTGGGTGTGGTGGCTCAGCACTTTGGGAGGCTGAGGGAGGTGGATCATGAGGTCAGGAGTTCAAGACCAACCTGGCCAACATGGTAAAACCCTGTCTCTACTCAAAATATAAAAATTAGTCGGGCGTGGTGGCACACACCTGTAATCCCAGCTACTTGGGAGGCTGAGCCAGGAGAATGACTTGAACCCAGGAGGCGGGGGTTGTGGTGAGCCGAGGTCATGCCACTGTACTCCAGCCTGGGTGACAGAGCAAGACTCCATGTCAACAACAACAACAAAAAGAATATTGTGATAAAATATGAGAGTGAGAATATATTCAGTTTTTATGGGCTGATATTCTAAAAGACAGAAAATCTTTTAAAATTGTTGGAACTATAAATAGCTTTATAGAATATGATTAAGAAAAGCTTTTTCATTGAAAAGGCCTCTTTGGGGTTTTAACAATTCCAAATTTAATCGTATTAAATTTAAGCATTAATTTTTATTCACGTCTTTGCTTTTGATTGAAATATTTGCTTTAGTTTAGTACTTACAAGAGAATAAGAGAATTTAGTCCATAAAACGTTGGTGGGGAAATTCGACTGAGGTGATTATCTTCAATTATCCTGCCAGCCAGAAGAAAAAAATTAATTCATTTATATATCTCTTGAACCTATAAATTACTGCTATAAAATGCCACATAAATTAAACATACAGCCATTCTAGTCTGTGAAGATCTTCAAAAACACCCGGCTTCAGGAAAGTTATTCTGTTATGACTAAGATACCTGGAAGAGGAGAAATGACTACAATAAATTTGTATCTTTTTGATGTCTTACAATAAGAAAAGTAAAAACAATAATCACCCATCTTAAATTTTTTTAATATAGCATTCTCATCATGCCACTTCCCTGCCTTTGAATCTCTGAGAATTGCTATCACTTACCTTATCATATCTAGTTTTAAATTTCCCCATAATTAATTAATCAATCTATTCATTCATCTATTCATGTATTCATTAATCTACTTTGAATACTTACCCCATGGCACTGTGCTAAGCATGCCATCCCTTTCTTTAAGGGGCTTTGAGTCTGGAGAAGCCACAGCATGTGAACAGATTACTTTGTAATGTCAAGGAAAGCAGAGGGAAGTGTATAATGCATGGTTGCTCTGCCATTGCAGGGGAGAAAGCAGCCAGCTTTGTTAGGGGTAGGGACTGCAGAGTGTGGAGGAATGAGGAGACAAGAGAAGGCTTTACTAAACAGAGGCACAACTGAGAAGAGTCTTGGATGAAGACATGCAATTCACAAAGCAAAGAATGGGCAGGAGCTATTCTAGGCAGAGGAAATAGCTTATACAAAAGCAAGAGGTATGCGAGACTGACAAGTTAAGAAATCACCAGGTAATTCACTGGGGCCTTACCATGAAAGGGCTATGAGGAGAGACAGGAGATAAACCTAGGAGGCAGGCGAGGGCCTGTTCTGGTCAAAAGAGTATTGCATCCCTTGCTAAAGAGTTTGACTCTGCCTCACCCATCTTTACATCCCACTCCTCTGCGAAGTGAAATAACTCTCTGTTCTATTGTGTTGGTCTCCTCTTCTTGTCACGTTCACTCATGTCTCAGTCTCTCTCATGTGGCAATTCACTGCACTAAATCTGCTATCGAACAGTTTGATTCCTGACTCCTCTACTTATTAACAGTGACTTTGAGCAAGCAATGAATTCCTGTAAGCCTCAGCTTCCCCAACTCTAAAATGGGGATCATATCAGGATCTCCTTCCTGTGGTTTAATGTTTGAGGCAATGCATGCCATAAACATTCAGTACACATTATATTTTATAGCAGTGTCTGTGCTCACGCCTCTTACTCCAGTTTCTTCCCTCTTTCCTTTTTCTTTCTGCTTATGATTCACATGCAAGTAAGAATTCAAGTTTTACTTCCACTAACACAGGATTCACACGGATTTCTTTCTCTTCTTCAGTCTTTCATATCTTGAATAAACATCCTGTAGAATTTCTCCTGCCAGGAATCTGTTCTCTCTTGCTGGGTTTGACTTTTGCTTAGGGCTAGTGAGCAATGGCACCCCACGATAGAGCCTCTTCCTTCCCTCCTTTGCAAACCTGGAGCCCAGGTGGGCACAGTAAGGGGTAAGAAATGACTTACAACCTCAGGGGGTTCTCTTATACAAAAACCCTCCAGGTAAAAGGCATTTGATCCACTATTGCTTCCTGTGATCACCTGTTTTGCCCAGTCCTCTTCATTTTTTCAGAGCCATCCTTTACTGCTCTGGACCTGAGATAATCACTCCTTTCGGTGAACCATAATAGCAGTTTTGGTTTCAGCAACACAGGTTTGGAACTTAAGTACTTTTAAAAAATGGTTCTCTAATGTTGTATATAAGTTGGCATTGTTTTCCCGTCTCAGATCATAAGCTTCTAGAGAACAGGAGTCCTGCCTCTCCCCAGTGATGGCTCAGTGCTCTACCTGAAACACTAAGGCATAACTACTTAAAGGGAGCAAGCCTGAGTTATCCTTCTATGCCCTCATGGTGTCTACCTAAAATATTTGCACTCTATGAGGGTTAATGAATACTTACGGATCTAATGATTATTTAGATCCATGAATCATCAGGTATCTAATGATTATTATTATCATTTTTTGAGATGGAGTCTCGCTCTGATGCCCAGGCTGGAGTGCAGTGGCGCAATCTTGGATCGCTGCAACCTCTGCCCCCGAGGTTCAAGCGATCCTCTTGCCTCAGCCTCCTGAGTAGCTGGGACTACAGGCATGTGGCATCGTGCCTGGTTAATTTTTTGTGTTTTTAGTAGAGATGGGGTTTCACTGTGTTAGCCAGGATGGTCTCCATCTCCTGACCTCGTGATCCTTCCGCCTCAGCCTCCCAAAGTGCTGGGACTAATGATTATTTAACTAGAAATATGTGGCATCTTTAACACTCAACAATATTCCAGCACTATAGAAAAGCTATGAAAAGAGATGGAGAACACTTTCAAGTTTGCTCTCCAGTTCTGTACTGCCTTTCAAGAGCTTCCTCCACATCCACTGAACATTAAACCAAACAGATGGTGTTTAGTAAATTTTGCAAAGATATATGGAAAGAAGACAGTCAGGAGTCTGACGAGAGTGCATCCAATATTGACGTTGGGTACTTTGCTAAGACATAAAAGAGCAGGGATGGGGTAGAGGGGGAGAGGACATGGCTAAAGTGGTTACTGTTAAGGCTTTGAGTCTCCTGCAGTCTTTTTCCATTTTGCTAGTAAATTACTAGATGCTCTTCTTGACTCAATCCCAAACTCTGATACCACAAGCTAAAAATCTGACTGGAATGGGTTTCTTGTGTTAGGATAGAGAACAGGATAGATAGAAAATAAGGGGACATAAATGGAAATACAGGGAGTTATGTATTCATGTGATTTTTGGTTATATTTCTTTCCAGTTACTTCTAGAATGCTGCATGGCAGAACTCAAGAAAATGGAGCTTTGAGAAAGCCTGGTTTTTTTTTTTTTTTTTTTTTTAAAGCACAGTGAGATACCACTTCACACCCATTAGGATAGTTATTGTCAAAACAAACAAATGAAACAAGAACACAAATGTTGGTGAGGATGTGGAGAAATTGGAACTCCTGTGCATCACTAGTTGAAAAGTAAAATGGTACAGCTGCTGTGGAAAACAGTATGGCAGTCCCTTAAAAAATCAAAATCAAATCAAATGGCAGTTCCTCAAAAATCAAAGAATTACCATCTGGCTTAGCAATTCCACTTCTGGGTATATACCCTGAAGTGAAAGTGGGGACCCAAACAGATATTTGTATTCCTGTGTTGATGGCAACATTATTCACAACAGCCAAAAGGTAGAAACAACCCAAATATCCACTGACAGATAAACAGTTAAACAAAATGTGGTATATAAATACAATGGACTATTATTCAGCCCTAAAAAAGGAAATTCTGACACATGCTACAATATGTGAACATTAAAGACATTGTGCTAAGTGAAATAAGCCAGACACAAAAAACTGCATATTTTATGATTCTCCTTCTATGAGGTACTTAAAGTAGCCAATTAATAAATACAGAAAATAGAATGATGGTTGCCAGGGGCTGGGGAGAGGGGGAAATGGGGAGAGACAGATATGAGGAATTATTATTCAACAAATACGGAGTTTCAGTTGGGGAAGATGAAAAAGTTTTAGAGGTGGATGGTGATGATGGTTCCATAACAATGTGAATGTACTTAATGCCACTGAACTGTCTACTTAAAAATAGTTAAATGGTGAATTTTAGATTACGTATATTTTACCACAAAAAGCTTTATTTCTTTAACCTTACAGTATTTCATGTATTTGTAAAAGTGGGATTAATGAAAAAAGAATAATTGATTAACTAGAGAAGTCTTTGAGTTTTTTCTTCTTCATCACAAATATCATCATCAGGCTTTTTTTTTTTTTTCTTCCCTTAGATACAGGGTCTTGGTCTATGGCTCATGCTGGATGCTGGAGTGCAGTAGTACAATCCAGCAATCAAGGGATTTCGCGGCTTAGCCTCCCAAAGTGCTGGGATTTTAGGCATGAGCCACCCTGCTTGGCTGCATCAGGCTTTTACTTTGTCTAAGTTCATTCAGTCATCACTCCTGTCACCAGGGCAAATGTACATTGAATTCTTAGTATGTGTCAGGCACAGTGTGCCTAATGCTTCCCACAGATTTTCTTGTTTCCTACAATATCCCAGAGGTAGGAACTATTATAATTTGTATTTTATAGTAGAGGCAACTTATGCTTAGAAAGGAATATAAATTGGCTGGGCATAGTGGCCTACGCCTGTAATCCCAGCACTTCGGGAGGCTGAGGCCGGTGGATCATGAGGTCAGGAGTTCAAGACTAGCCTGGACAAGATGGTGTGGTGGCGGGCGCCTGTAATCCCAGCCACTCGGGAGGCGGAGGCAGGTAATTGCTTGAACTCGGGAGGCAGAGGCTGCAGTGAGCTGAGATTGAGCGACTGCACTCAGTCTGGGTGACAGAGAGACACTCTATCTCAAAAAAAAAAAAAAGAAAGAAAAAGAAAAAGAAAGAAAGAAAAGAAAGGAATATAAATTGCTCAAGGTCACACACTTAGTAAGTAAGGCAATCAGGACTCAGACTGAAGCCTGTCTAACTCACAATCCCACACTCTTAGCCACGGTGCTCTACTGCGCCTTTAGCATCCCTTGCATGGATCCTTGGGACTGTCATAGACAGGGAGGCTGGTTTGGATTGGAATAGTCTAGGCTGTCAGACTACCGTGGAATGGGCAGATGAATTCGCACTGGTACTTACAGTTTAGTAAGGCTATTCAGTCCTCTGAAAGCATAGATGGAGATGGATGTAATCTTATTGTTTTGCAAGTACCTGTGAAAATGATTATTAAAAAGAAAAAAAAATGAAGCAGAGTTTCACTTTTGCAAGACAAAAATAATTCTGTGGATGTATGATGGTGATGGTAGGTAGTGTAGCAATATGAACGTGCTTAATGCCTCTGAAGGTAGACTTAAAAATGGTTAAGATGCTACATTTTATGTTATGTATATTTGATGACAATTAAACACTTTAAAAATTGAAAAAGGTAAACATTACAAAATAATTTAGTGAAGCCAGATATCATGTCACTTCATGTTTCTATTAAATTTATGTACAATTAGGCTGGCTTGTATTTCGAAATTCTAGTTGTAAAGGTGAATGAATAACAGCCAAAGCTTACTATTTGAATTTTCTAGAAATAAAATGTTAACACATAGTAAAGCCCCCATGAATCAGAAGTCTAGAAGCAGATTTTTAATACAGGCCTTGTTATAATTCTTTAAGCTTGTTAAGTGCTCAAGACAGTGCTAGCCAACCTAAAAGTGCATGATGTTTTTTAATGTTCCAAACCATATTCTATGTTAATCACAAATCTGTCACCCAAGTCAATTTTGATCTCATTAGTTTGATAACAAAACCTTCTTCCAAAAACTGTTTGGGGGAAATTTACGAGGAGTAAAAGTGGCAAAAGATGAACACATAAATAAAAATAATCAGGACTAGAAGAATATAAATTAGATTGGAAGGTCAAGACAAGAATGCAGGCTTACACAGTTAACTGAAGTAATACTGAAAATACGACCTTGAGTTAACTGGAGGTCAAAGGAAATGGGTACCAGAGTACACGCTATTGCATCACTGCACACACACAAAGGTTTGCACTTCCACGTGTACTTGCCCCAGACTATGGGAATGATAAAGTAAGGACTTCAAGGCTGCCTTCTTGTTCTGAGTGCAGGTCACCACTGTTCTTTAGAGTGTCCTGAAAGTTTGTATGTAATTTGTTATAACTTTTAGAAGCAATAACAAAGAAATCAATATGAGCAAACATTCAGTTAATTAGAAATTTTGACTGAAAAGTACCCTGTTTCTCCAACATGCAAGAACATCTAACTTTGATTGTGAAATGTTATAAAATTTATTATGGGCTGGGTGAAGTGGGTTATGCCCATAATCCCAGAGCTTTGGGAGGCCAAGGCAGGAGGATCATTTGAAACCAGGAGTTTGAGAACAGCCAGGCAGGGCAACATAGTGAGATCCTATCTCTAAAAAAAAAAAAAAAAAAATAGCCAGGTGTGGTGGCACATGCCTGTAGTCTTAGCTACCTAGGAGTCTGAGTTGGGAGGATCACTTGAGCCCAGGAGTTTGAGGGTGCAGTGAACTATGATCGTACCACGGCACTCCAGCCTGAATGACAGAGTGAGACCCTGTCTCTTAAAAAATAATTATTATGCAACTGAACCTGATATGCTGTGGGCCCAATCATGTAGTAGGTAATGAATGGTTCTCATTTATCACGTATTTGTTTGTTTATTTCTAGCACTATAATGATCTACTAAGGAATAGACTGCATTGCCTGGAGGTCTAAAGGTATAGACTTTAATAACTAATTAGAAATTTTTAAATAATTAGGCTATTTTGATAATTTTGTTATATGGAACAAATTGGTCATTCAGGAATTAATTCATCCACATTAGTACGGTGGTTAGTTCAAAAAAGAGATGTAATTCAATGTTTGTTGTGCAAAAATGCTAAGCCACTAAATTACATAAATCTGAATTTTGATATTTAGATTTGTAGTCTAGCTCCTTTACATCAAGTGGACATAAGGTGATGCTACAGAAAAATTCTTCAGTCTCCAGAAATCAGAAAATAGCATAAGTCAGTGTACTCTTGAAGTTTTGTCAGTTCTAATTGTGATAAATTCTCTTTTGACTGATAAATGTTCAGAATGAAATTTTGAAAAGTTATTTTTATTAGAATTTCTATTTTCAAATATGAAATAGATACTTCTGCAGACTATCTGGGTTTTTAGAACATTTCACTGAAGGAAGTGGGTTAATTTTTCTTCTGATTCCACTCAATTTCCATCTGTTAGCTTTAAAAATGTACAAATACATATTAATTTATCAGGTTTCCCTATTGGAAAACCAAAACAAGAACCAATTTCTATTGGTATAAAAATGAAACAATGAATCCTGAGATATTTCTTAGTGTGATTTAGGTACAGAGTATCTAAACCCAACAATTCACCATAGGACAACATAATTTAGTCACAAAGTTGACCTAAGTAACAGGTAAACATCACGTGGGCTAGTATGGATTTTGAGAGTTCTGAAGGGAAGCTAACATGTCAGATGCTACTCAAGGCCAAAATAAAACCCAACTCACAAGGCAGATGTGAAAACGGAATCAAGTCTCCAAGACATGCTCAGCGGTTTCAACCCACAGTGACTTGCTATTTTAGGTAGAGAATGAATTTGAAAACACATGGAAGAAAATTATTCACTTTCTTGATGGTAGATCTGGCAAAAGATCATTACATTTTTCTCTAAGATGAGCACTGAGGTGTTCCATGCCAGAATAATGCAGAGATAAAAGCTTCTAAGTATCTCCATTTTGGGGGAGTGTGGTAGGAGGATTCACGGCACACATGTTCCAGTTCCTTTGGAAACAGGTGTTTGAAATTTTTCTAGAATGGTTTCTAAAATTACTCAGGAAAAAAAAAGTGCTACCTGGAAGTCTTCAGTTAACAGCTAACTACTTCCCTGAATAGGGATTAGACATCAGCTGTGGAATAGTGTTGGTGTTCACAGAAGCGGGAAGAAACAGATATGCCCAAATATGCTAGTTAATTTTAGTACCAGGAATTAAGTATTTTCTTACAGCTTCTGAAGATCATGATAATTCTTGAAGCAATCAGGAGGAAGCTTTCTTATTAAGTTCCACTGAAGTGACCTGAAATAAATGTAAATTTTGGTTCTTAAAGTTTTTTCTTTACTTTTAAATTACAACAATAGGGATAATTATAAACTATTTACCTTAGTACTAGCTTTCAGGAAACATTTTGCTTCATGATTATCTCTCTCATATTTATCACATCACTTGAACGAGGTCTAGCTGTTAGTTTTGCACTATGAAAGCTATTCATATTTTCTTAAATTTTGATTATGACTGAAATTCTGACAAAAATGTTAAAGAAAATAATTGAAAAAATTGATTTCAGTTATGTTTTTCTTTCCTATTTGTTTTTAATAAACATTAGAAGGCATCTCAGTTTCTGAGTGACAATAAAAAGAGTGTTTTCGGTTTAAAAAACACTTTCCAGAAATTAAATATTGTATTTCTCAATATTTCATTGCTCACATTCCACCACCTTAAAATTAGTAATGAAGGAAAACATCAATTGGTACCTATAAATGGATCATCTTTATTCAGTAAGTGATTCCATTTCAACTTCTTTTTTTTTTTTTTTTTTTTTTTTGAGACGGAGTCTCGCTCTGTCGCCCAGCCCAGGCTGGAGTGCAGTGGCGCGATCTCGGCTCACTGCAAGCTCCGCCTCCCGGGTTCACGCCATTCTCCTGCCTCAGCCTCCCGAGTAGCTGGGACTACAGGCGCCCACAACCGCGCCCGGCTAATTTTTTTTTATATTTTTAGTAGAGACGGGGTTTCACCGTGGTCTCGATCTCCTGACCTTGTGATCCGCCCGCCTCGGCCTCCCAAAGTGCTGGGATTACAGGCGTGAGCCACCGCGCCCGGCTCCATTTCAACTTCTAAGAAGTTGTAAAGAAAGATTTTCTTTTGTATCACAATTTAATAAGCAGTTTGACACAGACCAGATCCGTGTAATTGTGGTTGTACTGGAAAGGTCCCAAGCCCTTAAGTTTTTGTTTTAGAACAGCAATGTAATGTAGGAAAAGCAAAATAAATGAAACAATAAAAAATCAAAAACCAGTGTAGCTGGGGTTCCTGGCATGAATCACACACAACATTTCCAAGTCAGTTTCTTTAACTGTGAAACGAGGGATTTGGATTAGATGGTATCTAATAATATATTATTAGTACTATCATTATATAGTACCATGGAGCAGATACTAATAAGTGAGCAACAGGCTGCATTGTCTGGAGGTTAACTTAACTCAGGTTAAGACAGTTTTATACAATACGCACTAACAATGTTTAGGTTTTGAAGCGGTGTTGCTTAAACTTGGTGATGAATCCTTCTTAAAAAAAAGTTTCTTGGACTCTTTGGAACACATTTTTGGAACCTAATTTGAGAAACACTGTTCCAGAGTCTAGAAGACCATGTACTCTCAATGAAGGTGAGAATTGGTTCTTAAAGAAGTAAAAAAAAAAATTTAAAAATCTAACTTTTTAAATGTATAATGCACAGATATACACAAGAACATATATCGTATATCTGTATTATTATTATTACTATTATTATTGAGACGGAGTCTTGCTCTGTGGCCCAGGCAGGAGTGCAGTGGCATGATCTCGGCTCACTGCAACCTCTGCCTCCTGGGTTCAAGTGATTCTCCTGCCTCAGCCTCCTGAGTAGCTGGGATTACAGGCACAGGCCACCACACCTGGCTAAATTTTTTATTTTCAGTACAGACGGGGTTTCACTATGTTGGTCAGGATGGTCTCGAACCTCGTGATCCACCTGCCTCGGCCTCCAAAAGGGCTGGGATTACAGGCGTGAGCCACTGAGCCTGTAGTACGTCTGTAGTATACTACAGTATACTGTATTATTATATATATAATATCTGTAGTATTAAAATTTCACAGGAGGGGACAAATAGAAAAAAAAAGTCTAAAAAGGCTTCCTGAGGGAAGGGAAACAATAATGAAAGAAAAAAAGTTAAAAATCACTTTTCTAGACTACGCATATCAGACACTTAGTGGCTTTTTAAATAAATAATACCAAAGGCTGATTAACAAGTAATTCCCTCTTGAAACTACTCTCAGTTGCTGGCCGTCACCAAATATTATTTCCTTGTATATATTAACTAATAGAGGATCTCTTCTCTGCTAATGATTCTGACTTGACTTAGATTCCAAATTCTGCTTTATGCCCTGTTTAAATGTTCATATTGTGTCATGATAAATTGTTAAATATTTGGATTTGGCTGGGCACAGTGGATCACACCTATAATTCCAGTACTTTGGGAGAGTGAGGTGTGAGGATCACTTGAGCCCAGGAGTTCAAGACCAGCTGGCAACACAGTGAGATCCGCCCACCATCTCTACAAACAATTAAAAAAATTAGCTGGGCATGGTGGTGCATGCCGGTAGTCTCAACTACTTGGGAGGCTAAGGCAGGAGGATCACCTGAGCCTCAGAGGTCAAGACTGCCGTGAGCTGTGACTGCACCACTGCACTCCAGCCTGGGGGACACAGTGAGACCCTGTATGTTTACAAAAAACAAACAAACAAACAAACAAAATTGAGTTTAAGGATATAGATGAAAGTTTAGTGTGTTCTTAAAAAATGTGTTCCGAGAATCGCTTGAATCTGGGAGGCAGAGGTTGCAGTGAGCCAAGATCGCGCCACTGAGCTCCAGCCTGGGTGACAGAGTGAGACTGTCTAAAAAAAAAAAAAAAAAAAGTGTTCATTCATTCATTGATTATCTCAAAAAAAAAAAAAACGTGTCAAATGCCTGCCATTTGCACATGTTGAATACCTGCTTTTAAGAAGTGTATATTGTATTTGGACAAATTATGCTTTATCTATAAATAGAGAATTTTCTTTGAATAATAACTTCAGTCTTACAGCCCAGGGCTAAAGAGGCAACCAACTTCTTTTGTTTTTATTGTATTTATTTATAAATTCATTTCAATAACGTTTATTTAGGGATTATTAGACTCTATTAGGAACTTTGGAGGATATATAGGCCATGGCATTTTCCTTTTTCAGGTAGATAATAGGACCCGACTCACTATAGTATAAGCAAGAATGTTTAGTATACGTAAAAGAGACACAAGTGAGGTTCTATGAGAGAACCCAAGAGGAAGAGGTTAATTGCACTTGAAGGAGGAGAGTTACTATAGAGGAAAGTGAGGCACATTGAAAGACTGCTAAGTAATGTTACTTACAAAGTTGGGTTTTTATTAACAGTGTCTAGGATTTATAGGTTACTTCTTTCTAAATGACATAAAATATTTTGACAAATAACATTCTCTATATTTCACAATATCCTACTGGGATAGAAAGAGGTAGATGCTGTTATTCTCATTGAATAGAACAACCCAAAATACTTTATAACAAATCCTTATATTTAAAAATTTGACATTCCAACTTTGATTGCTCACAGAGTCAAAGAGGGTGTGTGTTTGTGTGTGTTTGTGTGTGTGTGGGAGAGAAATGGCCTATTTTAATCATTATTGTCAAAGCTACCTCTAGTTTTTATAAAGGAAGTTCTTCATATTAGATCATATAGTTCTAGTGATTAAATTCCAGGATCTTAAAGTCAAGTCTCAAATAGTCAAAATTAGTGTTTATCCAGCTAGAAAAAAGTAAAAATAATCATATCTATCTATGTTTGCCCATTTTGTTCATTAGCATTTATGTGAAATTATTAAAAAATCCCAACTTCAATAAACATTACTGGGAGTATTAACTTCTTTGATACTTATATATGGTTCAGTCCTCTTCTGATATTTCCCTATAACAGTTCCAACTCAAAGTCTGGAAAGAACTGACTAATGAAATTTGATATTTACTTTTTAATGTATTTGCTATAAAGCATAGAGTTCTTTTTCTGTGTGGAACTGAACAAACAGACTGGGACTAGGTATGAGTCTAAGCCAGTGTTCTGCAGAAGAAAAGTATAAATGGACAACTGGAATCAAGTGGCTCAACCTAAAGCACAAGAGAATGCTATTTTTTGAACAAAAAATAAAATAAAAAAAATTGTAGACATAAACTCCTGAGCTTTATTCGTATATCTCCAAATGCCTGTTGGAGATATCCACTGAGTGACCTGTTAATCTCACATTGGAAAAAACATCTAACATCAGAGTCCCAATCTTCCTCAGTTACTGCCACCAAGTCTCCCCATTCTCTGATCACACCGTTGCTTAGAACGGAAACCTTGGAGTCATCTTTGACTCCTCCTTTCTTGCCTTCTTGCAGACAGTCACTTACAAGGACCTGGTCCCAGTTTTTTGTCTATACCAGGGGTTGAAAACTGGTAGGTCACCGTTTTCTGCGCACATCTCTTTATGTATGTATGTGTATATTAGATTATGACACTTTTAAAAATTGAATGGGAATTAATTCAATGATTTACCCTTTGTGTGAGGCATGCCCTCTCTAGTTAGCCGTTGCCTTATTCCCCTCCATTCCTCCAGCTTTCTGTCTCTGTTCTTTATTTTACAAATGTTGGTTGAATTGTTAAAGAATGGATTCAAATCTTACTCGTGGGAAAATGAAAAACGAAATTGGCTGCATCAGAATATCCTTTGATTTGGATTTTCTAGTAATTTGATACAGCGGTGGAGAAGGATTCTGATTTTTTTCTCTGAAAATAGAATGCAATTATCATAAATTATTATTTTTTTTGTTTGAGACAGGGTCTCACTCTGTCATCCAGGTTGGAGTACAGTGGCTTGATCACAGCTCACTGCAGCCTTGACCTCCCAGGCTCAAGTGATCCTCCTGCCTCAGCCTCCAAGTAGCTGAGACTATATGTGTGGGCCATCATACCTGGCTAATTTTTATTTTTTTGTAGTGATGGACTGCCTCTGTGTTGTCCAGACTATTCATAAATTCTTATACCCAGAATTTCCAGTTAGAATTTAAATCAGAGAAGTGTTCCATAGGACCTCAGGTTCTTTTGGGGGATTATTACTTTTTTCTAGCAGGACTAATTGCTATGAGAAAGAGCCACGGTGGGGCAAGAAGAGGATAGAATACTGAAGAGCTCTTCCTTTCCTTAGTTCAAGTGAAAATGTTCCCTCTTTTGGAAAACCCTGCTGATATTTTCAGTTCATATTCCCTGGCTACCACAAATTGGGTAAACTTCCCAGATCTGTGAATTCAAGGGAACCACTATGCACCGGAACTCTGAGTTGTAGCTCTTACCTCATGTATCAAGTATTTCAATTGCTGTATTAGGTGGCCTGGTTTGAAAACGGTAACACTTGTCAATATTCATAAACTCAAGAATTACTCTTATTTTGTCCTCATATACCCAAAAGTGAGAGCCACAAGGCACTAAGGCATCTAGATGAAAAAAGAAACTCAGCGAAAATATTGGATTAAAATAGTTGTCCTCCACTAATTTCTTGTAAAAAAGTTTCAGTCAAATGTGTATGTTTGTGTTGCTGAAGTTTGTTGAATTCAAATTAGTACTAGAAACTAACACTACAGGTACTAGAAATCAACACACCATTTGTGGTGATATTTTTTTTTACATACGCAAGTTTGAATTCCTTAAGAAAACAACAACATTAACATCTATGACTCATAAGGTGATTCAGAACAGATTTTAAATATGATGTTTTGGGGGGGATATCTTATCCAATTTACCTTATTTTCTTTTTTAACTTACACATCAGATTATATTAAAATGTCGGTCCAATAAATTCTAAAAGAATTCTTTCAATAAATGTCAAATGAAAATTCTATGTAATAGGAAAGCTCTATGTAATAGTTTAATTAGAAGCCATTTTTTCTTTAGTAGCACATGCAATTGATGACTTTTTTTGTTTACATAAAATATGGTGATACTCCATACCTCACAGGATTATTATGAGGGGTTAAATAGCTAATATAAAGAATAATTTAAGGTAGGGTCTAGCATTTAATAAATGCAAAATAAATATCAGTAATTATACCTGACCCAGGAAAAATGACATCATCTTGGAATAAAAATACATTATTAATAATGATATGGTCTTAATTATAATACAATTTTACAGGTGCTACCCGGCTGTCAGGATGAAGTCATTCTTTTCTACTTACATTGCAGTCACATTTGAAGAAACTGATGGAACAGCTCGTAAATTGGTTTCATCACAGTCAAGCTCCAGACCTTGGCAAAGACATTGCACTGGCACAGAACTGACCACTGAATCAAGGGGAAGTGGTAAGGCATGATGACATGAGGGGCCAGGAAGAGGAGGGTAATGAAAAGAAAGAAATGAAAAGCTATGAGAAAATCATTTAGTACAAAAGCATATCATGTGTTACCTAGGCAATTTAAGCAATGCTTTAAATTAAGGTTTCAAAGTTTGCTTTTAATTTAACCTTAAAATGATGGTAGAGCATTAACATTTGGAAACACACACTTACCAGCTCATGCATTTTTTAAAAATAGCAGACCGTTGCAAAATGAATGAAATAATCTGCTCTTATACCACTAAGGATTGACATGATAATGTGTGATGAGGCTTAATGTTCATATTACAACTGCCACTTAAAAATAAAGTATTTATTTTAGCCTAATCAAAACCTTTAAAGCAGGAATAAATCACTTTTAACTAGCAAGAACGAGGAGAACTAAAGGCAAATGATAGTGTCAATAGTTTTTTTTTTTTTTTTTTTTTAAATCAGGAGTTCTTCAAATAAGTTTTTAAAAAAATCTTTTGGCTTAAATGGGGTAAAGGATGAATAAAAGTTTATTTATGGGAGTGACAATTTTTCTTCTTAGGATTCCATTTTCACTGATGTTGGGTGTTGGAAAGAGAGGGAGAATGAGGTGTATGACCTTGGCCATCTTGTGAGGCTGTAGCGATAGTGTTAGGATGTGACTAAATACATCTAAATACATCTAAAGTCTATTAGAGATTTGCAATGATGTATTCATATAGCTAAACAGAATAATGAGATTATTATTTAGGATAATAAATATAGTTTGATTACTGCTCCAATGGGGAATGGCCAATTCCTGAGAGCAATGAGAAATGTTTCCCCCCTCCACATTGACTTCTGGAACACTAACCCATACCGCAGGGGTTACAGACTCCAGTGTCTCCAGCGGTCAGGCAATGTCACTGTAGACTGTGTCCAGATGTCCAAGTGCAACAGCTTCTCCCATCTGTTGCCATATTAGAATAGGAACATGTGTAGCTACGTCTACCAACTTCCTCAAAGAAGCCAGAAATACAATGTTTTATATATGACTATCTATTTAAAAACTGATATTAGCTAACTGAAAACATTTAAAAATATTGGACAAACAAAACTGTCTATGAGAGCTTTCTGCTTGTAGGCTTCCAGCTTCTGACCTTTATGGTGAAACTTGCAGAGAGCAGGCAAGTGTCTCAGTGGCTAAGCGGAGACCTCTGTGAATGACTGTTCATGAGGAGCTTTTTGGCTCAGATATGGGGTGACATGTGTTCTTCCTCTCCTCCCAAATATCTCCAGAGACTTCTTTTCAGGGTTACAAGAGATCAGGACCATAACCTAGATTTAGTGTTTAATATAAACAGAGTATCTGCCAAGAACTTTAAAACAGTTTTATAGTTGCAAGTACCCACTTTGGTCGTGGATGTCTAAAAACTGATGCTGTCTCTTTAAGTTAAAATCATATCTCATGTGAGTCTATGTGTATGCTGTGGGGATGGGATGGAGAAGGTTGGGAAGGAAGATGAAGGTCTGGAGAATGAAGTAGGAAGGTCAGAAACAGAGGGCAGTCAAATTAGCGCTAACTCCAGTGCATTTTTTTCATATAAAGAGACTAAATTAAGATAATCCATATATATTTATTACAGGGTTATCTGCAATAGGGAAAAATGAAAAAACAACATGTAAATATTCAACAGCCAAGGAATGATTAAGGAAATTAGGTCACTTACAAAATATACTATTACATGGTATATTTTAAAAGATGTTGTGGTAATATGGATACCTGATTATGCTGAAATGCTAATTGAAAATTTGATAAAAATGGTTTGTATAGGAAATTTCAACTATGTTAAAACAAAAAAAGACGAGTAATGTAGTAGCAAGTTAATGCTGGTAGCTTCTGAATGGTCAAATTATGGTTGAGTAAGTAATGATTTCTAAATCTCTATACTTTTCAAATCCTTTAAACTTAAATTTTTAAATTTATTGGTTCATTATAGGTATTATATTTTCCATGATATTGCTCTTAGAGATGACTTTAATAATGTGAATTCCACACATTATTTTATCTAGTCAAAAAATGATTATAAGCTTTGTTCAGTTTAATTTCCAATCAATTCCTATAATAATCTGCTTCAAACAAGGTGGGACACTAGGAACCTTAAATTCAATTTTAACTGCAAGTTTTACACTACACTTGCCATTCTATTTTTACCCTGTTTACAATCTTGAAAAATATATTTAGTTATTAGCTACACTCCCCTCCCACAAATTGTCTTTAAATAACTTTAAATTATATATTTGTTTTTGTTAAGTACTGATGAAAAAAATTACTTCTTTTTTTTTTAATACAACATTTATTACATAGCCTCATTCCTTTTATGTAATTATACTTGTGACAAACGTCTTCCAAGGTGCAGGATCAGGCAAAAATATATTTCTCTTGCTGACTTGTCTGGTTTTTCCCCATTTGTTTGTTTTGCTTTACAAACTATGAGAGTTATGTAAGCCATTATTTTCTGTCTTGGACTTAATGGCTATGAAATTCATAACTATGCTTTGGATGAAGTCACTGAACTTCTCTCAGGAAGGCTTTTCTTAATTTTTCTTTGTCATTTGCTTTCCATTCACCACTGAACTTTTGTCTTTTATATCATGTTAATGGTTTAAGGCTTTTAGTAGCTGTATTTTAATTGCTAGTTGCTGAAAATCGTTTTGGGAATAAAATGAGGTATTAAAAGATTCAATTAAAATTTAAGAACTAGACCAGGTGCGGTGGCTCACACCTGTAATCCCAGCACTTTGGGAGGCTGAGGTGGGTGGATAACCTGAGGTCGGGAGTTCAAGACCAGCCTGACCAACGTGGAGAAACCTCGTTTCTACTAAAAATACAGAATTAGCCAGGCGTGGTGGCACATGTCCGTAATCCCAGCTACTTGGGAGGCTGAGGCAGGAGACCCACTTGAACCTGGGAGGCAGAGGCTGCAGGGAACCAAGATCATGCCATTGCACTCCCAAGTCTGGGCAACAAGAGTGAAACTCCATCTCAATAAATAAACAAACAAACAAACAAATAAATAAATAAAATTAAGAAATAAAAAGAAAATATATGATAAAAGAAAAAAACTATTTTGAGACAACATGGTTTAATTCATTATTTTAAAAATTACCAGTTAAATTATATCTATTAACATTCTCCTTTCCCAAAAACTTTTAGATGCTTTTATTTTTCCCCCTCTGAGAGAGGGTTTTGTTCTGTTGCCCAGGCTGGAGCACAGTGGCTCAATCACAGCTGCAGCTTCAATCTCCTGGGCTCCTGAGGAGCACAGCTAAGTTTTAATTTTTTTTTTTTTTTAGAGAGATTGGGGTCTCACTATGTTGCCCAGGCTGGTCTTGAACTCCTGGTCTCAAGTGAGATCTTCCTACCTCAGTCTCCCGAAGTGCTGGGTTTATAAGTGTGAGCCACTGTGCCCAGCCAATTTTTAGCTTTTTAATGGACAACTTATTTGGTCTTCCTCTAAATAATGGCATGATGCTGAGACAGATTGCTGAGTACCCCGTGAACCTCACAAGAGTGACATCTATCCCCTTAAACTGGGGATTGCTAGTGGTTTTTGATTAACCTAATTTGAGTAGTGAAGACAAAAAATATTAAAAATTTAAAAAGCTAGACTTTACAATTTATGATAGAACATAAAGAAAAAAATAAGTATTTCTTCCTCTATGCCTTTTTTTAAAAAATAATTTTTGCAAGAGAAAAAACCTTATATTTACAACAGGCTATCTATAGCCTCCTATATAGACTTCAACAATCCTTACATTTTAATATTTCATATTTTGTTGATCTACTAATTTGACACTAGTATTTGATATGAGGCCATTACCTATTCATCTTAAATGGTTTTACGAAAAGGATATGACTGGGAAGGCACTATATAAGAAAAAAAAGAACAGAGGAGGAGCTGGCATTGCCAGGTGATATGAAGAAACTAACTAAACATATGACATAAAATTTGTCTAAAATAAACTCTTAGTCACCTCTCTACCATTTTGTAGTGAATAGCCATTGATTGCTCATTCATGACTGTTTTCCATTCAAAGCTGCCCAGATAATGCTTTGGGAAGATGGGAGTGATGTAAGTTGTACAAAACACAGAGAACAGAAAACGTGATGAGTATGAGAATTGAATAATTAACATTTACTAGGGCTAGCGAAAGGTAAACTTTTGTCACTATCTGTATAAACATGTATTTTCTAGAACTCATAGTGTAAAATTTTACTCTCTTAAATTATTGAACTATACAATAGTTAAATCATTGTCTACATAATATATTGTGCTTTTATCTATGACTAAAGACATAATTTATGATAATGTAACTTTAGAAAAATGTTATAAAATAACTACCTAAGTATTTGTTATTAAAATGTAGTTATTATTATATAACATTTACATAAATAAAACCTCAATTACTCAGACATATTGTTAATCTGGCATGCTTCAAGATCAAAAAGGATAAAAATAAACCATGAATTTAACACCCAGCAAAAATTCTGTGAATGTTTTTATTGTTAGCTAAAAAACTAAAAGTTTTAGCTATAAGAAAAATTATTATAAAAAATATATGTTTAAAAATATACCAATTCAACTGGGCTTTAAAAATTCAACTGAGTTTTACTGTAACTATAATCCATCCATGGAATATGTATGTTCCTGGGCAGATACAAAGATGAAAAATAAAACAAAACATCCTATCTGTAGCCTCCCATAAAGACTTCAATAATAATTTATTGAGTGCTCACTATGTACAAAGCACTATTTTAGGCACTAGAAGTGCAGCCAAAAAAAAAAAAAAACACAAAAAAAAGTCAAACAAAGTACCTATTGTCATAGTGCTTAGGATCTGATGAGATAATTCATACACCACCACAACCAACACCACTACTGCCAGCAATTATGATAGTGCCACCTCGGAAAATAACACAGAGTAAGCTAATAGAGTAACGAGGGGAGGGCTGAGGACGCTGCTGTTTTATACAGTGTTATCAGTGCAGGCTTCCTTGATTTGAACAGGGCCCTAAATAAGGTGAGGGTCACCAACTAAGAAGACACATGGGAGAAAGTTTCTGAAAGAACAGTCGTATAGAGGCTGTGATATGGAGCCATGTCTGGAATGTCAGAAGAATAGCAAATATGCCTTGCTTTTTAACCAAGGTTTTGAAAAGCTAGGGTCAAAATGACAGCTCCAAGGCACAGATTTACATTTGCATAATTTATTAGAACACACAAAATTTATTTAAGAGGAGTTATTTTCATATATCTTTCTGATCTAAAATATTATAGTTAATCCTCAGGTTTATACCCTTCCACACCCCTCCAGTGTTTTTGTAGGTTTTCAGTGCATGACTGAACATAGTGGGTTATAATGAATAAGGGTTTTGCAGCTCAGAAGAGTTTTTTTCTGGCAAACATTAAAATCCAAACAGCTTTTCTGCCCTCTCTACTTTCTCTGTTTTCTTTATATCACATTTCATAAAGATTGTGAAAAGAGAACTCAAATAAAATACCATTCTTGAACATCCTTGACTAACTGACATTGGTTTTGTTCACAACAATATCTGACACCATTTATTACTTTTACACTTAAGATCCCTGAGTCTTTTTTGAAATAAATTTTCCTAGTGAAAGTTGTATATTTAATAGAGTTTGCAGTTAGAAAACTATAATTGACCTCTTAAAAATTTTGAAGTTTCTTTAATTAAAAACGATTTCAGATGGAGATGCAATCTTTTTTTTTAATGATGAATCAAACTTTTAAACAACGGTATCTTATGAACTCATGGAAAAGGAAATAACTGCTCCGATTACTTACAACATTCAGGTGTTTCTGCCTCAAAGGGATATGGGGAAGTCATTTTGGAGTAACTGGCAAAATATTTGTCAAATTGCAAAGACCATCCATTGTTGTCTCCTAAAATAAAAATCAGAGAACAGAAAAGTTCAAGAAACAGAAATATTCTGCTATATTGTCGGGAAATAGGTCCTCTCTTTAAAACAGTCCAGTGGTTCTCCAATGTAGTGAGATAAACATTATCTGGAAACTTGCTACAAATGTGAATTTGTGGACCCCCACCTGGAGATTCTCATTTTACAGGTCTGAGATGGGCTCCCTAGTCACCATTTTAAATTTAATTTAATTCTTTAGATTGAAAAAATTTGGGGGGAGTAAATTATGACAAAGCTATTCTCCAGTTTTTTTTTCGTTTATTTGTTTTTTGTTTTTGAGACAGAGTCTTACTTGGTCGCCCAGGTGGAGTGCTGTGGCATGATCTCAGCTCACTGTAACCTCCACCTCCCTTGTTCAAGTGATTCTCCTGCCTCAGCCTCCCAAGTAGTTGGGACTACAGGAACCTGACACCACGTCTGGCTAATTTTTCTTTTTTTTTTTAGTAGAGATGGGATTTTCACCATGTTGGCCAGGCTGGTCTCTAACTCCTGGCATCAAATCCGCCTGCCTCGGCCCCCCAAAGTGTTGGGATTATAGGCGTGCACCATCACGCCCTGACTATTCTCTGTTTTTAACAAGCACTATAGGTGTTCCTGAAGCAATTAATATTTTCACCGCATTTTAAGAAACATAGCCAAATATGGCACACTGTTCTTAGCATTTTACAATAATTATGTTTCCCTACATCTTCTTCAATCTCTAAAACTGATGTTGGAGATGTATAAACATGGCTAGACAGCCATGATGATTAACTTTTTTATGTTATGATATATATATATATATATATTTTCAGACGGAGTTTTGCTCCTGCAGCCCCAGGCTGGAGTGCAATGGCACTATCTTGGCTCGCTGCAACCTCTGCGTCCCAGGCTCAAGTGATTCTCCTGCCTCGGCCTCCCGAGTAGCTAGGATTCCAGGCACCCGCCACCACGTCCAGCACATTTTTGTATTTCTAGTAGAGACGGGGTTTCACCATGTTGGCCAGGCTGGTCTGGAATTCCCGACCTCAGGTGATCTGCCCACCTTGGCCTCCCAGAATGTTGGGATTAAAGGTGTGAGCCACCGTGCCTGGCCGATTAACTTTTAAGAAAGAAAGAAAACATGACTGGCATGATCTCATTTCTTTTCTCTTTTTCTTTTTTGAAAGGCACCATGGTATCTAAAGTGATTATTCTCTGAGTGCTTTTATATATATTTCTATATTTTCGTATTTGTATTTTAAGCCCCTATGTCACTTTTAAAAAATCGATTTTATTCATGGGGTAAAAGGAAGACAATTTTTCTCACCAAATTCCTAATGATGTTTTAGTTACTTTTAACCATAAGAGACAGCGCAGCCAAGCATGTGATAGAGCGGACTAGCGAACAGGGATGAAGAAGCAGTTTCTCTGGAGATGTCTGCGCACGGTACAAGCCTTCATTCTCTTGGTAGGGGTTTGTATGGGATCTTCTCTAGACCTTCTAAATTTTTTCCTGAATGCTGCCAGACAACTCCCTAAGGATGCCCAAACATATGAACAGAGAGTGAAGTTATAAAAGTTTGTCCTGTTTCTGTAAGTTAGTAGTAAGTCTAGTATTGATTGCTTTTAAAATTTTAAAAATTAAAAAATATTTTTGAGACAGCGTCTTGCTTTGTCACCGAGGCTACAGTGCAGTGGTGCAATCTCAGCTTACTGCAGCCTCTCCCTCTTGAGCTCAAGTGATCCTCCTCCCTCAGGCTCCTGAGTAGCTGGGATTACAGGTTGCACCACCAAGACTAATTTTTTTTTTTTTTTTTGTAGAGATGGGGTTTTGCTGTGTTGCCCAGGCTGGTCTTGAACTTCTGGGGTGAGGTGATCCACCTGCTTTGGCCTTGAAAAGTGCTGGGATTATTAGGCATGAGCCACTGCAGACTTCTGCATGGGACTCTAGCGGGCCACCAGTAACTTCGTGGACAAGGGACAACACCCCAGAAACCAGCAAATGCCAGCCCCTGGACACCCAGGAACAAGTTCAAGGTGCCTGCCCAACCTTTAATACACGCATCAGTTGATATGTTAGGCAGATAAACAGGAGGAGGAGGAGATTTGAAAGATTCAGCATATATAGCCAAATAGAGACTAAAACTTCCTGAGACTGTGGTGGCTTTTGTGAATGTTTGCTCCTCCTTTATTCTACCTCCACTTTAGAATGCTTTCGTATTCTTTAGAAGTTGGTAACTTAAATATATGTTTTCCAGACCCCAAGCAGCCAGGATTCTTGTTATAGATAAGCTTCCACCAATTGGATGCACTCTTGTAAGACCTGAGGTTTGTACACACCAGCCTCAAGGATATCTAGTGGTAGTTGGGGCGGTTACTGCAGTCAGCCTCAGGCTCCCAGTTTCATGGATGTAGAGATGATTAGCAGTAGCAGTTGTGACAGAAGCAGATGCTTCTTGATCTTGGGCTTGCAACTACAGTAGTATATTCCCTACCTCTGACTCCTGCTTCTGCAGCCTTTAAAATGATTCTACAAACACATTTTTTCTTGTATAAATATATATTTTTTTTCTTAAGCTTCTCTTTCCCAAAAATATCTAGAGTGGTTTCTGTTTCCTCCTTCCAGAAGGGGTTACAGATAACAGACTCTCAGACATCTCAAGGATGGAAACATTGGATGGGTTATCTATTCCACTTCTTCTTACAGATAACGGCAATCATGTTATTATTAGAACATGGGACTCTCATAATTAATGGTATACAGTGACAAAAAGAAGTCACTTAAATTATTGCTATGGCTTCCTGGAATGATGTGTCTGCTAGAAGGCTAGGCTCTGGCAAAGTTCTCGCTATGATAAATCATTAGAATGAGAATGAGAAATTTCAAGGGTTGTGAAGTGGGACTGCAGAAGAAATAGCTCTGGAGCGATTAAAGAAAGGAAACAGCTGGGCATGGTGGTTCATGCTTGGAATCCCAGCACTTTGGGAGGCCAAGGCGGGCAGATCATTTGAGGTCAGGATTTCGAGACCAGCCTGGCCAAGGTGGAGAAACCCCCATTAGAAATACAAAAATTAGCCGGCCATGGTGATACATGCCTGTAGTCCCAGCTATTCGAGAGGCTGAGGCGTGAGAATCACTTGAACTGGGGTGGCAGAGGTTGCAGTGAGCTGAGATCGCACACTGCACTCCAGCCTGGGTGATAGAACTACCCTCAGATAATCTTTTGTCTCTTCTGGCCTTAGCTCAGGACTGATGTATCTCTACATTATACAGAATCTGATCCTATGGGTTGTTAAGTTACAGTGTAAGTTGAATTCACATTTTGTCATATCATTAACTTTTTTATTTTATTTTTGAGACAGGGTCTCACTCTGTTGCCTAGGTTAGAGTGCAGTGGTGCGATCATAGCTCACTGCAGCCCCAAACTCCTGGGCTCAAGGGATCCTCCCACCTCAGCCTCCTGAGTAGCTGGGACTGTAGATGCATACCACCATGCCCAGCTAAATTTTTTATTTTTGTAGAGATGGGGGTCTCCCTGTGTTGCTAAGGCTAGTCTCAAACTCCGGTCCTCAAATGATCCTCCCACCTTGGCCTCCTAAAGTGCTGAGATTAGGTGTGGGCTACTGTGCTCAGTTTGTCGTATCTTTTAAGTGAACATTAGAACACAACAAGGCGAGAGGGACCTTGTGAATTGCACTGGGACATTTGTGTGTGTTCAGTTGAATTTGACCACTCTAAATCCCCTTCCCACAAAATCTCCCTTGCAAGCAAAAACAGCTCCCCTTTCCTGTCTGATGAGGTTAGCAGTAGTTTGTTTGAAGACACATGAGTTACTTTACTTGAGGTAAATAAGTTTCCAACTCTCCTCAGGCCCTTTCATTACCAGGCTTCTTTGCTTCTCAACCTATTATAAGTGGAGTCAGAGCCCAGCATGCTGCAGAACACAAATTGGACTTGGAGAAGACTGACATACCGAAAGATTTTGCTATTTTATATAAGCAGAAACCCAGGGAATTTGCATGGGAACGGTTTCTACAAGCATTAGACCAGGAAGTAGAAATATAGCTTTAGGTTGGGCAAAGCTAATTGATCTGGGTATCTGATATGGTTTGGCTCTGTGTCCCTACTCAAATCTCACCTTGAATTGTAATAATACCCACGTGCTAAGGGTGGGACCAGGTGGAGATAACTGAATCAGGGGGCGTGTTCCCCCATGCTGTTCTCCTGCTAGTGAGTGAGTTTTCATGAGATCTGATGGTTTTATAAGGGGCTTCTCCCTTTATTTGGCCCTCATTCTCTCTCCTGCTGCCCTGTGAAGAGGTGCCTTTGGCCACCATTGTAAGTTCCTGAGTCCTCCCAAGCCATGTGGAATTGTGAGTTAATTAAACCTCTTTTCTTTATAAATCACTCAGTTTCATGTATTTCATCATAGCAGACTAAGAACGGACTAATACAGTGACCTCCTGGAGTTTCTGGATTCCGTGTGTTAGCTCAAGCAGTAGTTTTGCTAGACTGTCGACTGAAATCTGAACCCAATGCTGACCTAGGCTAAATGAAATTGAGGGGCAAATGCATGCAAATGTTGAGTCACCAATGGAACAGATCATGAGGGGCAGCCATTGTATTGCACAACTGCAAGGAACCTGTCATGGAATATGCTGTAGACTGACCCAACTTCATTGGTGTTTTTCTGGGCAGCAGAGACTGAAAAACTTCAGACGACATTTCACACCTCCTGTAGAGCCAGGATTTGGGATGCACTCACATGTATCTTGGTTAGAAGAGAGGTATAAGGTCATTTTCTTGCTGCTCTGTCTAAAACAGAGACATAGGAGCAATCGTGGAAGGGGATTTCAGGTACTACCAGCCTTGTGGGTGTCGAGAGAGGCAGTTGAGTTGGGGGTGGTAGCAGCAGCTGTCTCCATTGTCAGTCGCAGTCATGATGGATCTAACAGCATGGATGTTGACCTTGTTTACACCCACTCATCCAGCCCTTCTGAGAA